TAGCTATACCTAATATTAGTATTAATATAATAGTATATAAAGTAAATTATTATATTATTACCTTTATTAAGCTAAAGTTTACTTTTTAGTTATTTACCTTAACAAAAGACAAGATTCGTTCAGCGAATTTGTTTCTTAATAAGAGCTAAGGAATAAAGTAGAAGGTTATGCTACTACTTGTTACCCCTCTAGTAAGGCAAGTCCTTTAGAGGAGCAGTCAGATCTATTATGTAGTCTGACAGACCTTATAGTCAATATAGTGAACCTGCTTCACTAAAGATAGGATCTAGAAGATGGAGGTGAAAGAAGTTGATTCCCTTAATGACCCTGTAGGAGGTCTACCTTATATAGTGGTAGACCTCCCGTGTCTATTAGCAGGGGTAATAATAAGCTAGCCTTATAAAGGCATTTATAACTCTATTAACCTAAATAATATATATTTATTATTACTATAACTATTCTTCTCTAGCTATATATACAGATATCTTCAGATAAAAGCATAAAGATAATAGACGTTAATAGCCAGGGCCACAGTATCTATACTCCTTTTCTCCTAGGCTAGCCTATATCCAGCTTACCTATATCTAGCCTAGTTATACGCGACCCTAAGGGATTTAAGACATAGCAGCACTTAGCTGAAGAAAAAAACCCTATAATAGCAGATTTGTTGGCGTTATATAGGGGGGGGGCCTGAGCGAAAGAGAGTCGGCGCAACTTTAGGCCGCGGGTTGGCGGGTTGGCATTAATGGAGCACCGTACATGGCGAGCTTCCATGTTGTCTGGCGTCAAGGATTGTTTCTCTCAGAAGGAATAAGACCTACAGATGGCGTTCAACGGCCCGCTGCACGGCCAAAGCGTCGTCGCCGGGACGGGCGGGACGGCCAACGTCCACTTTATGCATGCCGCCGATCCCAATGGGTGCAGCCATCACCTACAGTGCCGGGTCATAAGTCTGGGCACACCAAAAAGGATAATCCAATCAACAGTTAAAAAGAGGACCCATCAGCTTGGAGTCACTTTACAGTGCACCACCAGAAGTCCTGTGTCTCCCCATATTACTGTAGCTGTTGATTGGATTATCCTTTTTGGGGTGCCCAGACTTATGACCCGGCGCTGTAAGACGTGTCCTAGCCTTCTCGAAAACCTGAGGCACAAAGGACATCAACCTACTCCCGTCCATTCCAACTGAACCTTCCCCTCCGTGTCACTCACACACCGCCTGCGTGGCTCATTGGCTGCCAGACCCACTGGCTCCCCTGCTGTGTGGTTCGACTTGCTGAAGTAATCGCACTGGAACAGGGAAATGATTGGTGGAGCGGCGGCCTCACCAACTCACGGGGTGATAAAAGCAAAGGCACTATGCCCTCAAAACAGAAAGACACAGGCAGGCATGGTGTTCTCTTTCATCACACGGCCACCGAAAACAAGGGACCAGAGAAATTTGTAGGGTATTCTCTTTTTGGTTTGCAGCGAGAGTTGGAGACAGACGTTCCCAGGGGGTTTAGTCATCAAGTCTGCTGCGCTAAAAACCCCTTACTCACGGAGGGGGTGTTTAGCTTTGCGCGGCGTTGACTAACACCCCCGGGTAGAAGGCTCATTGTGGTAGCCATACGAGGAAACAGTGCGGGCCCTAACCTTAACAGAGCGAAGAGTGGGGGCATCAAGAGACGCACGGCTGTTCATACACGCACACCTGAGTGGATGGTTAGAGGGTTCTTAACAACAGGCAATATACTACACCACTAAGCAAAGGAAGACTTTCTTAGAACCAGATGCTAACATGTCAAGTATGGATAACGAAGTAACGTGAGGGCTCAGCCCTTTGTCATTACGACAGGAGATCTCGCGGCGATGTTTGGTTGTGAGGCAGTCCTTGGAGACGAACTGGATGGGGATCACCAATACCGAGTGGCTGGATACATACTGACTCAGGATAGCCATGTTCGTAGGAAATGCGTCCAGTGCACACATGGAGCGGCCATGGCTCTTGTCTCATACCAGGGTAGCCATCTCAATGGCTGTCAAGAGCTCATTAATGTATTGCAAGCCAGGCTGCTACCATGTGTTATCTCTGGTGTTGAGGAGACGCGCGCTGACACGAAGTCATGCTAGCATGTTTTGATAGTTTTTAATGGTGTCTTAGGCTGTGGGATTCCTATCAATCGATTTAAGGTGTATTACAACCCTGGCTTCCAAGATGAGCTCGATACGCATGACATTCGGGTTAGCTTGAGATTCGCACAAGGCGACATGACAATCGGGAGTGAAAATTGTCCTATTACTCAGTCCGCGTGTTTGGTTGTATCTCATGTATCTCCCCAGGAAGAGTTCGATTCTGAAGTCGACTGGACCAAATCTACAGATGGCAGCCTCGTTGAGAACGAATTGAGACAGAAGGTATGGCATAATCTTACCAAATTAAGACAGGCTTTAACGTCAGTAGAACGACGAGTTTTGGAAACGTTGGGGTTTGGTGGGACTATAAAACAGTGTTCTTATGTCCCTTTATCCTTTTACACGACACTAAACATGTCTGAAATGTTGTATTTGGGGAGTACAGGTCTTGGAGATGGGTTGATGGAGAGGCGGCTACGGGTTGCGTATAATAAGCCAATCGGGTGGGATAGCTACTACAGATTGTTAGTTTCTCTTATATACAAGAACCCGTTTATTTGCATTTGCCCCTTTACAGCGTCCAAGCCGATAGTCAAGTGACAGCGCTTTGCTTTCCTCTCCCGGTTTTTTTCTGCCTCACAGTACAACCTATCCTTCTTTACCATAGCCTGCCACGGGAAGGGCGTGGGAGGAGCTTCTTTCTTGAAGTTAACGAATGCGATATAAGCATAATCTAGAAATATGGGTTGTATCTGTTTATGTCTTTATAAGACTCCTAAAAGATCGGAGTCTATCGTGATTCTGGTTTGTGCTATTTTTCCGACTTGACACTTTGCCCATGATAGCAGCATTCAGAGAACGGCGGGGCTGACTGGGGGCAGGCTGGTTTAGGGATAAAAATCACCGTGGGTACACATTTGGGTTCTAACCGATTTGACCCATGAGTACGTATTTGTTGGGTACCCACATGGGTTATGGGGTTTTTAGGGTTATGGGTTTTTGAGTTTTTGGGTCATACCCAAATGGGGATTTCCGTTTAATGAGTATTGGTAAGTCAAAGCACCCACTTTTCGGCCACCCCTGCATTTCGGCCACCAGAAAATGCCACCTAGCTACCTATTTTCTAGATGCCCTCTAACTTCTAACTATTATAATATTTTCTATTCGTCACTAAATAATCTCATTTTTTTAGCATCTATTCTTTATAGCCTAATGCCCTAGTTTACAGAATTTAAAGTCTATTAAGCGCTTACTAATATCTTAGATAAGGTATCTACTTATAATACCTCTAAGCAATAAGAAGTACTACAATTAATACTCTAGAGCTAATTAAAGGGTACTTAACCTAGAGCAGTAGCATTTAAAGACCTCTAGAGGCTCTCTATTAGTTAAGAGGCTAAGCTAGCTAGCTAGGTATAAATCTAGGCTAACCTTAGGTTTACGTTAATATACTAGTAAGTTAAGGAATTTATTTAGCGTATCTTAAATACTATAGAAAATACTTAGCCTTTAAAAAAGAGATAGTTAGATACCTTTATATAAAGAAACCTATCTATTAAGGTCTAAAGAAGTTAATTTATTAATTCTAGCCGTATTAATAAAGCATTTATTAAGATTATTAAAGACTAGTTTAAGTATTTTATAATCTTAGTAATATTAGCTATTTAGCTAGCTTATAGATATAATATAAATAAGACTAGTATCCTTAAGGGTTAAGGGGTAAATAGGCTAGTACTAGGTAAAGTAAAAATAAAGTCTATATATAAAAAACAGCTTAGATTATAAGCCGAGGTATTTATTATTAAGTATATCTTAGCTAATAGCCTAGTATTATATCTTTTTGTAATATATAAGAGTAAAATAATCTAGTTGTAACAGCACAACTCCCCTAGCCAGATGGTTGTACGTCACAAGGGTATATAAGCAGTGTTGACCTGCCGGCCCACGCTCACTGTATCTTGGTCTTCCGAGACAGGAGGTGCAAGACGTGCGCCCGTGAGTTTCTCTCCTCGCCGTTACTTGCACCATCAGCAGCATCGCCACGTTGACGGATAATGTATTCGCTGCTGCCGCATAGGCTCCCTACTATTCCGTGGCGTGTCTAGTGTCACTTCCACCTGCCTCCGGCAATATAGCCACATCTCTCCTGGTATCCCAGTTGCCGTGACTTGGATCGATTTACATTCGCTTCGTCCCGTGGGACGCGTCCAGGCTTCCTAGCTTTTCCCTCATGCCATCTCCCATCTCAGCCGCTGTCCTACGAACTCCTTGTTGCATTGTAATATCGCCATGCTCATCGAAATCCTCCCTTGTTGACTCGACAGGCCGTCAACGACAGTTTCCTCTCGGTCGGCTTAGCCGTCTAGTCAATGCGAACCATGGCGAGATGATCTGTCGAAGCCGCCCGTGTCTAAGTTTTCTTTTCTCCCCTCTCCTCCTCCTCTTCCTCCTCTTCCGTCTTCTCCCCCTTCACCCCCTGCTTTATCTTCCTTTACCTCCTCGCAAGCTTTCCTACCCCCTTGCCCATTTTGAAATCTAGACGCTAAACCACTAGGAACTACAGGTATAGATAACGTACCTGACACATCGTATTATTGCCGTCCCGTTGCCTCTCTACCTGCGTTGTGTATTAACAGCACAGACACCCTTGACCTGGTTCGTGACCTGGACCGCGTAGCCACCTAGTTCGTGTCCCTATGCAAAAAGAGCAGCGCCCGCTACGCTGTCCAAGCCCTGCTCTATTCAAGGGATATCAATGACAACAACCACTATCATCGTCCTTTGACCGAGAAACTACAATTGGCGTGCACAGCGACTGTTTTACGTAGCCTCACTAATGCCGACAATTTTCCGGGCACCCCAGCCGTCGTTCCGGCTCCAGATGAATGTGCGGGCCGCCGCGGCGTCTGTTACGCCTGCTGGAAGCGAAGATTCGGCTCAAGTCGGAGATGCGCTCGATTGCTGTTGCCGTCGGCGACCTGGCGTACGACGACGATGCCCGGGACCTGAGGATGCCCCGCGAGACGGATTCGATCTGCAGGGATATCCTTGGTCTAGCAGGCATGCAACCCATCCCCCGAGGGTAACAGGGTGGCGATGCTTCGGTTGCCTTTAGGGTTAAAAATCCCTATGGGTACCCATTTGGGTTCTAACCCATTTGACCCATGGGGATTCTTTTGGGGCCCATATGGGTTATGGGTTGAAATGGGTTAAGGGTTATTTTTAAGATTATGGGTATGGGTTTTTGGGTTATACCTAATTGGGGATTTCTGTTTTCTGGATATGGGTATTATGGGTATCCGTCACGTAATAGGCAGAAAACACAGCAAATATTCTCAACCTATAAACCTATACTTATCTTATCATTTAGGTATGGGGATTTTTAATACCTATACCCAAAAAAATAATAATACCTAAATACATAAAACCCAAAAAACATATTTCATGGGTTGACCCATTCACCCAACCCATTCATCTGGGTCCCCATGGGCCCCTATGGGTTGGGGATTTTTAACTCTACTTGTCTTCGCCTCTCTTTCCGTCTCGCCTTCCGCCGCGCCTCTTAATCAGCCTGCTCCTGGAGCCCTGCTGGGGCATGACGATGGATCTCTGGTATTTCTCATCGTCCTCTTTGTGGGGGTCATTGTTGTCGGTGTTCTAGTGATAATTAATAGTATGTTTTGTCCTGGTGAGACGGTGGTGATGGTGGTGACGGCACTTTGAGGGAAGAGGGAAATGGAGTTGCATACATTCTTCTATTCGGGAACCTTGGACTGAAGCGAAGCCAACGCACCGCATATGTATGAGGATCAACGCCACGATATGGCCTCTCCCAGCCTGGACCAGGTTCAAGGTGTGTGGTGCTTAAAAATGATCAAGCATCGCGACTTGTCACTTAAGACCGTGTCCTGAAACAGGTTCATCTATCGTCGGCCAGCCCGTGGCTTTAGCCTGGGCGCGTTTCGATCTCTTTGGTGTTGGAAGAGCAAAGAGCGAGCCTATGTCTGGTCACAATCGAAAGATAACGTGTCGTATTCTTTGCTTACTTTTCTATCCATGACGACCTTGCTCTTCCATCTTCTTTCCCTCTTCCTCCTGCTAGTTTCTCCTCATCATCCCCTCCGTCTAATGACTTGGCCTTTCTGACTGCTTATCGATCGAGAGCTTCCTGCACCCTGGTGAAGTGGAGGAACCACAAAGCAACTAAAGCTTGCCAAGTCTTCTCTCTCTCTTTCTCTCAAGCCGCGCTTCTCGACTGTGCATGCAAAAATGGAATCTCGCCAACCCATACGGTCGTCGTCGCCGGCGTCGTCTCATATCGCAAGCCTCCTTTTGGTCCTCGCCGCGCCCGCGGGCGCCGAACTTGTCCCCGCCACCTTTCGGACCGTTTATATACCAGCCCTCCAGCTCTGCCCGCCAATGGACCTCTCTGCCGACAAGATCTGTGGCACCATCCTTAGCCTCCGCCACATCAAGGTTGATCACACAGGTATGGCGCCCACGCCCCTTGGACTGAACCACACCAACGCGGAAGCCTTGTGGTCTGGCTGCGCGGTGACCGCTCTGGAGGAGAGCGTCTACGATGCGGCCCTGGTGACTGGCGAGACGGTGCGGGTGCCGCCTCTCTGGGGCCACTTGAGGCGCGAAGATGCCGAAGCCAGCGGGCCTCATCCGGGCCAGCTTCCTCCTGACCGACACGCTGCTCGATGACGCGGCGCGGGGGGCGAACTCCTCTGCTGCGTGCAGCCCGGACTCGGGCCCAGGACACCGTGGGAATACGGGGCTGCGGTTGTGGGGGGCTTCTGCAGGCCTCTGTGGAAGCAGACGAGCTGGTGGGCGAGTCTTGAACAGAGAGTGAGGTTTACCGGCATTACAAAGAGGTGCCATGTTTATCTCCTGGTACTAATACGATGGAACATCGCTGTGGCTTTGGCCGTTCTCTGTACTGGGTACTTTCCATACCAAGGAACAAATGTAACTCGAAGGATGAACCATAGTCAGACTTGTTAGCGTCTTGCCATGGTTCTATTGTCTCGAGATCTGTCCCTACAATGATCACAACCATGCTCATTCTCTAGATTGGAAATGAAAGGAAGAAAAGGTCTATCGGCAAAACCTTTGCCTACATACTGGCTGCACAACATTGATTGCTCTACGCGACCATGGCACGGTGTTCGTTGACTTTGGCACGTAGGTTGACCGCAGGCGCTGCTGCTGCCAGATCTTAACGTTGCTGTGCTGCGCATACGCTCACCTACAAAGCCAAAGGGCTACTCAAGCACGTCGATGAGGCAGACCCTGGGTACAAGGTGCTTAAACACTGTGGACAGAGAGACAAGGGGCTCAGCGGGGGGGAAGCCTGGCCTTTCTTGTGGACAAACAATGGCTAGTTCAAGGCTTAGGTATCGAATAATCTGAACAAGTGGCGCCAAGACCATGTCGTCGGAGACGGGGGCGGAGAGACCTCTAGGACAACCGGCACAGCACCATCCCAACGCTCAACCCTGGAGACTTGGCAAAGATGAAGCCGCAGCGGTGCCCGACGGTAACCGGCAGCCCAAGCATTGCTACTACAAAGCTGGCCACCATCCGTCTCCGTCTTACGGGGTCCACAAATCAACCGGCGTCGGTCGGCGACGCTTCCGGTGAGTGCTCTCTGGCAAAGACCCGGATCAGCACGGATACAGAGAGACAAAAGGAAGTGACGACATCCGAACGGCCCCACGACTGCGGTCACTGGGGGGGGCGGACGAGGCTTGGGTGTGATGTGGTGCACATGGATGATGTTGGTGACGCGCTGTGTCTGGCGTGACGTTGATTGTTGATGAACAAGAGCGAAACCCCGTGCCAGGTCAGGTGATGAGTTGCTGGGTGGACGAACGTCGGCAGTTTTTCCCCAGAAGCTGTCGAAGTACGTCAATTGATAAGATATCCCTGTTGTGACTATTGCTCGTGGGTCTGATCATCTGTTTGGGGGAATCCCCTCTTCTGCTAGGCCCCCTTTTTGCTAAGTGCCAAATGCACGTGTCATCGGATTTTTGCGTATTTTTGGGTGCCGAAATCCGTCCAAGCTTGTAAAATTCATATTATTTCACAGCTAGAGAGGGTTGGATAAATCGGGGCGGTGCGGTCGACCCTCTACGCAAGAGGATGATAATCATCTTTTGCTCCTATTACCAGCACATACGACCATACCCACTGGAAAACTCGGGATCCCGTCCGCTCTCCCATAGATAAGCCAGTGAGGGCCGGATTAGTAGTTGGGTCGGTGACGACCAGCGAATACCTGGTGTTGTATGTTTAAGTTTATTTTTGGTTGGATTTTCTTTATGATCCACTCTCACGATAGAGCCAGGAACCAGCCACTACCGCCCCTAAACTTATTTCCAGTCAACATCAACGGGTACCTCATGGAATTAAGATTCCTCAAACTGGACCCTTCGAATAATGGTGTTTATCCGTCATTTTCCCGGACCGCCCCACTTTCGCCGGGCGCGCAGCCACATTGCCCACTTCAACAGAAGCCTGCCAAGAAGCGCACGGGCCTTGCCACCTGCCGCGGCATCTGCCCCACCACCCTAACGTTTGAACCAATTGTCTTACAGCGTTTCCTTCCTTCTTTGTTAGTGCAAGCAACACTCTCCTTCCCGCCCTCTGCGCGCTCCATCGCAATGAGGACTCAATCGTCGTCTGCGCGGTTCCCCCATCCCGCGCGATGTCAAGCTTGCCTACTCCCGCAACGCTGTGCACCCTAAGCTGCCAGTTGATCAAAACAACAAAGTAGTCGACCACTGGCGGGCTTGCTACGTCCATCACCAGAATGAAGCGGGTGGTGTCGTTTGCCAGAGATACTAAAGAAGCCGTCGAGCCTCCCCACGACCCGAGACCTGGAACCTACCGGGCATTGGACCTTGCTCTGCCCATCGAGATTGCAGCCGTTCAAGAGAGTCGAGTTGCTGTGACCTCCCGTAAGGTAAGTCCCCAGACACCCGTGCAGCTGATGCAAAACTGCACTGCAGGGCAAAATGGATGAACCAGTGGCACTAACGGTGCATCATGAAGTACAAGGCGCAGGTCGAGGCAGACACACGCGATGCACTCTCGAGCGACGATGAGCTCTCCGCCGACGTGGGCCTACTCCAGATAAGACATGACGAGGTTAAACCCAGAAAGATGGCCTTGCTGCATTGTCCCCGCGACTGCCACAACGTGCTCGCCTCCGACGAGCTGTCCGGCGATAACGGAAAGACCGATGCAACAAGATGGATGGATGGCTTTCCAGGGACGTCGAGTCGAGGGCCCACGACACTGGGCAGCGCCTGTGGAACCACAAACACACGGCAGCGTAGGCCCATGAGCCAGCGCCAACGTAGGTGGACGATGAAGACTTGGAACCAGCCACTGAATTTGATCTTGGCGGAAGCGCTTCTTCCACCTCCCCAAATATCTCCTTGGCCTGTGTGCCTCGACAAGCTCTGTCACTTCACACGCTCGCCTTATTACCGCCGCTGCCGTTGCCTCTCGTTTCGCCGAATTGGACCCGTTAACCCTTGGAAATCCATGTCTGCCCCTGCAACCCCTTGTAGCTATAAGCCACCTTACTCCCGTCGTCGACTCCAGCAAGCCCTGCTGGGCTAGCAAGCACCCATAAGTCATGTAAACATTCAGCCCGAGGGCATCACACAAACCTTTGAAGCCCGCGCACTGCAAGGTTTCTTGCCGACTCCTGGGGAGACAATGACGCGGGCAGCAGTTCCTGACGTTTGCAAACAAGGCCATGGGTGCTGGAGGCTCTTGTGCTGGTAGAGATGGAGAGCGTGGTCATTGGGCTTGGGCTTTTGGGTTCAAGTCTACAGGCAGCGGTTGTTCGGTCAGGCTCGGCTTCATGTTTTGTTACCATGCTCGTCACGACAGGCAGCTGGCTGGGGCGCAGGATATCAGATATCAGTGCATCCCGTGGAAATTGCAATGGGAATTCAGTCTCTCATAATGCCGCACTTCTGTCCATAGCCCCCATCTCCCTCTTAGTTATGCACCATCATCACAGCCTCCACCTCGCACGACCGTGACCAAATTCCCATCCACTGCACTGTCACATCTCTTCCCATGCCCGCCCACAACTTACAAGATGGCCTCGCACTCGTTAACCAATTATCGCTCGACTTGGACAACATATACGCGACGGTTCTCGCCCGCTGGCGGACTCTCGATGACATCTTCGACAAGGAGTCGGTCCCGGATGCAAGGGCCGAGTCTTTCAGCCTCTGAGTCTACCACCGCGTCACCCCAGGGCTTCTCACCACCGTCTGTCGACTGCTGTTCAAAGACGAGCTCAGCACTCGTGATCCATCGTCCACTGCACGTCGCCTTAGGGTTGCCTCTTTCCATGGCGGTACTCACGGCGCCATCGGCTCCGCTCCGGTCAACAGTGGATCCATAAAATAGGAAAGCGGCACAAAAATACTGGAGCCGCCGCGATGGCCAGGGCAATCGGAAGAGTATCATGCAACAATCTCAATGTTTGAATCTCGTCTGCATCTATTTGCAACCACGGGTTCGTTCACCTTGTGCCCTGGCTTTGTGGCCTATCTACTGTGTACTGACTGAAGCATACCTCCCAACACGCAAGGCGTACTTCTGTATACATGGCAGCAACTCTCTCAACTGTTCATCGAGGCGTTGCTATACACATGGAGCTATACAAAAACCGAGGCCGGTGCGCAATGGATGGTTCTCAGCAGACTTCCAAGCACACAGACACAAGGACACAATGCCTTCTACGACGACGACGACGACGACGACGAGAACGCCCAATGATGGCAATGACGATGACGACTCGTCCCTATAACACACACACACACACACACACATACACACTGGTCGCGATTGTTTGCTTCATTAGCTCATGCACCGGCTAGACCAAATTTGCTAAGCCGACAACCAACCAACAGCACGCCGCGCTGGTTGACAACAAAATATCGACCCTCTTCTAGGAGACCGCGCCCTCTTTTACCTCGCTCCGTCCCTCCGCGCCTTGCCAGCCATCATTGCCCAGGACCTCATCTCAACCAGTCGCTGTCGCTACCACCGCCGCTGTCCATCATGTTTCCAGTTGTTGCATTCTCGCCAGGTGCTGCAAAGCGTAGCAGGCTGCTACAGGCGGGAGATGAACAGTCCACAACGCCCCAGGTCCCTCGAGCCCAAGAGATGGACATGGACCCAGCAACGCGCCGGCGCAAAGTCCCCTCGGTCAGAGGATGGGCCGACTTGTATGACCACATGACGACGCAGGATCAAGCGTGGGTCAGAACTAACCCCTTGCGCACATATGCAGCAGCTCTCATGCCCTCGGACGTGCGGGGTTCTCTGACAGAATGACGACACAATACAGGTTCTCCTCGGTGAATGCTCCGACTCGGCCCCAGTCATACAGCGCTTCCTGTCCACTCGACAGACAACGATCTACGCCCTCCATCAAGACGTTGACAACCTCTCGGGACTTCTTCAACGAAACCGCGAGCAGGGCCTTGTCCTTCAGAAGTCCCTGGTGATCCGGATTCTTGACGCCGCCACAGAGCTGCGCTGGTGCTCAGCGCGGCTGACCCTTACTCTCTTAGCCGACGCCCAGGTTGTTGGCAAGTACGAGAGGGACCCGGCGCACATGATGGGGATACTGCGAAAAGAGAGAAAAGAGAAACACCTGTCTAGGTTTCTCGTCCGGGCTACACAGACGCTCTGCGCCTGCTTCATCGCTGTGCTTGACACCTACGACGCCGTGGACCAGTGTTTTGTCGATTCAACTCTGTACAGTGCCATTCCGTTTCATAGCTGCGCTCTCAGCATCAGGGCTGCCGTTTCACTAGGAACAGACGGGACGCAAGGACCTGCAACCAAGAGTACAAGTCAGACGCTTGGCGAAGTCTACACACTGCAGTCCGTAACCAAAGTAAAGTGTGTCTCGGAGAAGCTCTGTCATGCTATTGCATATATCGAGGACGCCTTGAGTGGAATGTGATTCGGAAAAAGGATAGAACCTAGAAAAAACAAACTTTTTGGTACCGCGTTAGGCTTCTTATATGGTATCGCAGGTCCTGGGCCTAGGTGGGCTTGTTAGATGCAAATGAGTCAATCTAAGTACGATCAGTATAGACTCATCACAACGGGACAAGTAGGTTGTCATTCAGACGCCTCGTTCGAGAGTCGAGTATCTCTGTCGCTTGCGGTGACTTAGGAATCAGTCGCGCTCGTTGGAACCTGGCTGGGAGTGCTCCCAAACCAAACGGAGCCTGTGGAAGTTCAGTCCAGCGTGCCTGATTTGACCGAGGTAGTCCCGTTGAATCCACGGCTTATCAGTCACCGAAACAGGCAAAATACCCAGAATCGGTCGGTTCCCTGTCCACTGATACTGCGGTTGTCTCGACGCTGGCGGAGTTCAGATAGTAGGGACGGTTGAAGGGTGCTTATTGTACGCGAATGTATGGTACGTATCCACTTCTCGTGGCTTGTTGATTTAGGGGATAAGGAGTCCTCAAACAGACTGCACGTGGCTCTTCAGAGTCTTTCGAATCCTTGTAACCTCGACTATGTCGAACTTTGAGCCGCCAAAACTCTTACTAGTCTCCCTTGGCGCAGGCATTGGACTTTAGTGTAAATCAGGTAGATGAAGCTTGAGCAGAGGGCATCCTGGCGAGGTGAACGGGCTTGCTGTGCTAACCCGGACACACAGCTCCGTTCGCGCTCAAGAAGCTGGCTGTGGTGGGTCGGGAAATGTGCCACCGGACTAAAAACTTCATAATCTTTCCTTATGAGTATACCTGTGCTCTTGAAGCGCCCAAATGCTGGCGGATGGCGGGCCTGCGTTGACACCGTGGCTGAAGAGTAACAGTGCGGGTTTGTCGCGGAAACTCTGTACATACATCTCAAGCTTCCTTGCACGGCATGCTGGCGGCCACAGTTGGACGGCAAGCTCTAGGATTGAAAACTCACTAGTATGCGATTGAGACTGGAGACTACGATGGCCGTGCCATCAGATGATGAGAGGAAACTGACAAAAAAGAATGATGTCGACTCTTTGCCAACCAGCAAAGCTCAGCACTGCTGCCGTCTAAATCATCTTCCTATCGCGCCCCACATACATCCTTTGAAGCGTCATCCCTGGGACTATCGTTCCAGATCGGAACCCAGCTTTTGTAAGACGGCTGCGGCGATGTAGTGGCCCGGAGCAATGGGAGTAGTGACAGACAGCGTTGGGGGCCTGAAGTAAGACTGCAGATTACCTCAAACTCAGTCTCGGCCCTTGCCATGATCGCTAGATCAACAAGTTTACCTGGCTCTTGTCTCATGGTGTGTGTTGGAATAACAGCACCAGCTGGTTGTACGACACGCAAGACTCAAGGACACACACCATAGCAGAGGGCACAGACTGGATATTCGGCCCTCGGTTATCTATTGAGGGGATCAAAGTATATTCATGCCGAACTGACTCAGGGACGTACGAGATCATATATCTCGTGTACGAAAGCCAAGTCTTGTAGTTAGGAAGATAATCATGGAAAATACATCTTTGGTTCACCTCTAATTTTAACCCGAGTACGATCGTACACATGGGTTCTCTCAGGAAGAGAGAATCCATTTAACTCTAGGTAAGATTTATATGAACATCAAGTAGTTTCTTGACGCCATGAATAGGGGTTGAGCGATTAAGCTTTTTAAGAACGTACGCCAGCTCGCGCAGTACACCCAGGAGACAGGCCTCTGTGTGTGGCTTGCGACATCGTACACCAAATACTATCCAGGACACGACCCGTCAAGGTCACATGGCTCATCTCATATGTGTCGACAACGTCATCGTTATGATCAAGCCACGAGACTGGGACACACGTCCCCATTGCCTGTGTTGTTTCGCTAGCAGCTTGGATATTCGTCATGAAGCCACTCTGTTAGATGATCGATGTCGATTCGATGCAGCAACACCGGGGCTCTTTGATCAAAGAGTGGATTCTTCCCATCCCGGTCGAAGCGGGGTTCTGTCTTGTAATAATCTACTAGTTCTCACAGGTTCTTGCATATTGCAGTTATGCGTATAAGCAAGTTTCAGCTACCTTTTATCCGGAGACAGGCGTCAATCCAACACTATGTACCCAACATGCCTAAATGCATGAAGGGAACCTCTCTTTTCTACATGGCTCAACGGTACAAGTCACAGGTCTGATAGCAGTGAACTGGCGATTCTTCCTTGATGCCCAAGTGGCCAAAAGCCGGTTGTTCTTCCCCGAACATTTCACGCAACCCCCAATACAACGTTCCACCTTCCCGACAAACACATGCACAACTAACGTCAGTCCCAAAGTTAACGGGCGATATTCATCAAGTGCCTGGGAAACTACCAGTCTTATTTGTGGAAGAAAATGAACCCCCCCCCCCGGACTCAGCCACACCGTCACACGCAGCGACTCCATATCAGGATACTAATCTCACCCTCAAAATCCATAATGCAGTTCGAAAAGAAACTTTGGAACCCCATTCATTACTATTGAAAGGTACTTTGTTTTCTGGAAAGGAGGTCAACCACAAGACATCTAAAGTTGGTCTTAAGGACGATGCAGAAAACACGATGGCTGAGTACTATTAGCCCCATTGCGTTTCCATAACCGGAACTCTTTTTTCAAGAGGAATTGCAGAAGACTCTTTACACAACTGGATGTTCGCGCCTTTCGTGTCTACTGGCAGTGGCACAAAAATTCCCACCGTTTTCTACTCCATAAGGGGCGACCAATCCTCCGTCTCCATGTACTCCCTCAAGCCTGTAGGCTTCGCCTGGGAGTCGAGGTCCGGAAGAGATAGGACATCTGGGTCTCCCCCAGTATAGCCAAACTCGTTGCTGTAAAGCATTGATTCCAAAAACTCCGCCCTCGCCGGCTCCGGTAGGGATTCGACGTACTCGGAAGGTGAAACCTCCTTGAACTCGGTTTTGAGCCCCAAGACCTCGGACCAAAGTGTCCAGAAACCCGTCCATGTCGCCCACTCTGACAACGCCAGAACAGTCTTCCCGGCCGGCTGCTCAACGAGCGCCTTAACAAAGATGCCGGTATCTTGATCCACAACGATCCACGGGATTGGCGAGCTCTGTCCGGCAGGGATAGAGATGAGAAACGAACCGTCGTCTTGCTTCAGTGGTCGCCCTACAACGTTCTTCCAGTTCGAGGCGTAGGTTCCAACCTGCACGATGCTCAACTTGGCAGCGAGCCCTGGCAGTTCTGCGCGTATTCGGTCTGTCACGACCGCCTTGCCGTCGAAGTGCCAGTTTTGCGTGTATTTTCCTCTTGACCATTTCTTGGCGTTGCTTAAGCTGCTGAAGACAAAGTGCGTTAGGGTGGACAGAATCTCTGGGGCGCTGGCGGCGACGGCCATGTTCATGCCCTGTGAAATCTCACGCTGGTAGGCGAACTCGTTGATGGACAAACCGGCCTGCTGAGCCTTGGGATAGTTTGAGGGGTCGAACATGTGGCCCCAAAAGTTGGTGACCGCGAAGATAGAGGATGCGCCTGAGAAGGCGCGTTTCAAGGAGGGAATATCGTCGACGTCGCCTTGCACAAGCTCAACGTTTTTGGATTTCCATGCAAGAGCGGCCGCAGATGATGGATCGCGAGTAATGCCGCGAATTCGCCATCCTGGGAGGCTCAAAAATATGTTCGCGACAGATGATCCTTGGTTACCTGTAATACCAATGATAACAATAAGTTTGGTATCCGCCATGATGATGAATTCCGTAGTATGATGGGGTTCTGTGGTAAATCCCTATGAGATTCAATGAGACGACGCCAACGGTCTAAATATGAGGAGGACCAAGTGTTGTGGTGCAATTGAGTGCTTGGGGTCAGCGCCCCTCTCACTGTCTCATCTACTTGACAAATCAATTTAGCTCACAAAGATGACGGTGTGTGGAGCCGCGAATGGGGTCCCATGGCTCATGAACGGCATTGGATCATTCCGCCGGGTCTCATTTTGCGCCGCCCCTCCGTTTTGAAGCAGCCAGCCGAGACGAGGAGCTGTAGTCTAATTAAGCGTATGTCTACTAACATTCTGTCCTGATGGGCATATTCCTTCTACATGAGGCTGCTTGTGGGTATAGTTTTGCGCCATCAACACACATTCCGAGCCGAGTGTTTCATAATGCCTCCACGAAGTCACGGTAGTGATGTGTGGCAGTCCTTCCTACCTCAGTCGTACCTAGGTAGCTCATTGACGAATAAGACGGCGAGCTGTTCATGCCTGCTCAGTTCAACATCATCTCCTCTTGCAATTAGACATCTCTTCAACTCTATCGAAAGCTCTGAAGCTAGGTACACCACATCAAACCAATACCGATGTCTTAGTCAAGGCTACAAGTGACCAGGGAGATAATAGTTGGTTGAAATCCAGAGAGGAAGTGCACAGCGAACCTGTCAACCGGATCACTGATCGAATACATACGCAATAACAGACTGTGTGAGGACCCTAAGCAATAGCAGCATTTGATGATTAGAATGTAATCTTTCTGGTACACAAGGTATAGGGATCGAAGACCTAGATCCATGTATGAAAAGACGGTTCACCACCAAGAGTGCGTGACTCGCAATGATGATCGTTCAGCTGAGGATTTAGATCAGTAATCACAGCCGAAAATACACATGAGCCTGGGTATAGAACGATTCGGCATGACCGGAGCACCGATCTCAACCGAAGACAGTGATGGGCCAAAAGTGACCTAAGCACTGTGCTCTGCCGCTAATTCATCCTCCCATCAAGTGTTAGTAGACATACGCTTAATTGAAACTTTATTACAGCACTCACCCTCATGCATGCAGCCGATCGGGTTCAAGCCCACCCTTTCCCATCACCAGCATCGTGACTGTTGAAGGATTGACAGCAACCCATGCGCGCGCGCGTCATAGCAAACCCATGCAGTGATGCAATTCTTGACAACAGTCCAGTCGTGATCAGCGAAGCAGCAAAACGGATCACAAGACCACACAGCCGTTGAGGCCATCACTCCCGTGGCTGCCAGGCCAGTCTTTTTTGTTGGACCCTTGATGTATTCCTGAAAATAATGAAAATAATGGAAAGAATTGGAAAGAATTGGAAAGGAAATAGGACAACTTGCAGCGACGGAATCCTACGGGCGGAAGGTTCCAAGTGATTTACAATGTAATTGTTCGCAATTGCGCGTCGTTGCCATGGCAGGCTATTTGGTTCCCGGTTCGTGATTCAACAATGGCACGCGCAGTGGTGGCTCTAACCACAGCCATAGCCACAGCCACAGCCACAGCCACCCACACACCGAACAACTTGCGCCTGCAAATATTTTTTTGCAGTTGCTCCCGGGAGCCATTCGGTTGGCCAATGACTTTCTTGCCAACCATTTATCCATCCTCAGACATCGCCGTTGGCTAGGGATTTGCGTCGTTCGAACCATGCCTCAACGGCCTCCAGCTGAGGCGGCATGAACTTGCTGCAAGTATGAATTACAAGTCCTCCCCACCGCGAAAGCCTGTGGAGAACTCCTGCCGGCCATGACTGATGTAACTTGCCCTTATTCTTTCATCGTGACTTGAACTGTCAGCTTCTGCAGGAGAAGTGTGACGTTTCTTGGCGTAGGATCGAGAAAGTCTCGAGTCTGCAAGTACGGTGTTTGCGGGGTCCATCGACGTCTCTTGGTGGGCGGGCATGGTCTTGGACTCGGGCAGGAAATCTGCCTTGAGTGTCTTGGAAAAGCCACCATGTGTCAATTCATGCAAGAGGGCGGCAGGGGCCGGCACACTGAATGCGATGCTGGTCATTCTCCTCGACCTTGTCTTTTTACATCACACAGACCGTAAACCGAGGAGGAGAGAGAGAGAAGAGAAGAGCATGATCACAAAGCGATTTTCACGTACGCCCTCTAGTATGCAGTGCTTCTGCTAACGCCTGTACATCAACTGCCTGGGCTTTTATTATGTCGCGTTCCGTATTCGTTCCCCTGAAATTCTTCATCTGCTGGGCGCGCGTAGGACAAACGACACCACGTGCCTCCTAGGGCCGAACGGCCATCTGACCTCGGGGGTTTGGACTTCTTGTCCGAGATTTTAAGCACATTAACCAGGCCAGCAGCAATAATATCAACAGACCTTTTCAACCTAATCTGCTCATGTGTCAACGTCTTGTGTTCCCTTTCCTAAGCCCTAAATCGACGAGACAAGTTTGTCAAGACCGCCGGACTAGCTAAGAATGGCAAGAAGCCCACAGTGGGCCGGTCGTGTTGCCTGCACAGTCCGTGTTAGCGATCTTGGTACTGAGATCATGGCTGAGTCATAGTGGCAAGGCCTATTCTCTGTCCAGAACTACAAGACCCTTATCGCGTGGTCTCTACATCAACAGTATTCTACAGCATAATTTCACAAGAAGATAGGGGTGTCGATTGCTGCACTGGGGCAAATCCAGACACGACCTGCGAGTTTTCTGGTACTCTACTACTATTAGACTTGGAATCCCCAACAATGGCTAGCTTGGACCCTTGTAGCCAACCTGAGAGTGGCTGCGCTGCTCATTTGGAAGCTACTTCCAAGTTATGTCGGTTGATGAATTCTTGTTCGCCTTGGGGCTTCGTCTTATGTTTTGGAGACACATTCTATCACATGATAACTGCCTCTGGGAGTTCAGAGGGCTGTGTTCCTGTTAGCTGGAGGATGATAGGAGAGAGGGTAGAGAAGATGGGAGCACCGACGTCAAGGAGAGTTTCTGCACTAGGCATGGCAGCGTCGTGACCCCTCCTTGGTCCATATTGGGTTTGTTGTGTCCGTCACTGACCTCCCCGACCGCCATATGCGCCCAATGTCCGGTGAGTGAGCCAGACAGCTGCCTCAGTCACCAGAGAAACACCCTCCTCCCAATCCCACGCGTCAGCGTCTCGGACCTCCACCATGCGCGCGTATTCCTTGTCGGTGAAGTTGTTCGCGGGCCGCCATCCACGGTCAACCGCGCGACGGAGCTTATCAGGGAATGCCGCAGCAAAGGATCTAATGTTATAGGCGAGACGTCGTAGGGCGTTCTAGGCCGTGGTGCCCACATATACGGCGAGTCTGGTCGGCATGGTCGGGTCGGGCTGGTGAGTATACGGCCGCATGTCATGTTCGACGAGAAGCCAATCGGGTGGTTCTTCGTGGGTCGCTTCGGAGGAGCGTTTCGATGACATGGGGGAGAGAGGTATGGTGCAGAAGCTGTCAAGCGTGCTCATTTTGGTGGAAAGACGAGCTGTGTGCTTTGCAGGCGCTGTATGGTGGATGCGTGTCGTGGGGTTTGTGCTCTCCTTCTTGTGCTTGTCGTTTTCCTCGATTTCTATTCATTCGAGAGCTGTCGACGTCAAGTGTAAAATGTTAAGGATGGCCTGACGCAGCAAAAGAAGAACAAGTGGCAGAAAGCAAGAAGCCAAAAATGGAAGGAGGGGGGAGGGGTGGCACAACTTCCGAGTTTTCCGGCAGAAGAGAGCTTTCAGCTTGCAATTGCACAGCTCACACGTCCAAAAACAACGGTATATTCACGCTCGAGCGGCTGACGCGACTCAAAATCCTCAACTTTCATACCCCCTATACCCAACTCGAAAATTGTCAGCGCCAAGGACACAATTGAGAAATCACACAGAGCTTTTGAGGGAGGATTTGATTAAAAATAGAACAAAAGAGACCCACGAGTTCAAAAACTAAGAAAGAAGCCCCACTTGGTGAAAAGACAGGTTTATTCGGCCTTTGCATGGCATCGGCCTTCACGAAAACCTTGTAATCAGTCACCTCCTTGGGATATGGATTATTGATCGGTATGGCGACCTCACCTGGCTCTGCCAGAAACAACACATGCCCATCGTCGTACAGTCTGCCTGAAATGGTGAACCTGCTCTGGAGAGCGAAGCCGAAAGCTTCCCAGAACATCGATGGCTGCTTTTTGGGTTTAATGGCTGGCCCTGCAAGCCGACTCGTTTGATTGAGCAGTGCAACTTGGTCCGGTATCTCATCGTGTGCCAGAGAGAACACTTAGAACTTCTGAGGCTTGACTAGAAGACCCAATGACACTAAAGCGTCAATTTTGGTCGAGGAGAACGGGACGGTATTGGCGCTGGACATGATAGGTCAGAACTTCTGGCATTCTGCAAGCAATATAATTTTTTCTGATGAAGCATTAAATGGAATGTTCCAAAGGATGATCATGAATTGAAGCCGAGGGAGTGCTTGAATTCAAAACAGTTCAATCGACATAGCACAAGAGCTGCAACAGACTGACGTTGCTTTCAACGGCGAGAGTGTACGTAATAATCGACGTGGCGTTCAGGAAGCCAGCTGAACGGGCGTGCAGGTGGGCGCATGGGTTTCACAGTTGCATGACTATCATTGCATTGGTGATGTTAATCTCTTTCCCTGGCAACTAGCGGTGCGATGAGTTCACATCGGTGTGGCGGCAGAACTAATGTGTATGTAATAATGAAGTATTGCATGTGACTAAAGCGCGTGATTGAGCATCATACGGACACTTGGCATGTTCGATTGAAAGCTCGGCTTAAAAACGACAACACACATTCCACGCGGCCAAGACATCACATATACTGCCTAGACCACACCCGTGTTGAGATAGCTCGAAGCATCTGGAAGATCTGTGTGGAAATTCTAGCACTTACAAATCGCGAGCTGGACCTTTTTACGCGAATTTGACTTTCTCGCCAAGGAGGCCGATGAGAGGGGCGGTACCAACGTCTTCGCTGGGAACGACCTTGAGAGTCTTGGCTGCAGCATCCCGGTGGGCAGTATGGTTGATCTTTTCGCTCTTGTGGCTGCCGCTACCGCCCAAGCTAATAGGGAGACCAAAAATACCGAGGCTGCCACTGGCGCTAGTCGTCTCCTTGAGCTTGGTATCGAGACTGCGCGCGATGCTATCGTTGAAGCTCACCTCCTACCCGAGACGTGAAATGGTAACCATTGCATTTGGAGAAACACCATCGTTTGCCCATCCTTTGGTGCATCAGAGCGAAGCTGGAACATGGAAAGAGAGAAAGCCCTAAAAAGATGAGAAATGGCACGTTAGTATTTGCAGGAGGCAACTCATCATTTTGAGGCAGATGACTACTGACCAAGAATCAGGTTCGACGGGGATCTTCCGGTCTTGTCGTACACGATCTTAATCTTGACGGAGAAAGCATCACTGCTCGTATCGAGAGTGGACGAGCTCTCTGAATGGTTGCCAAAAGCATTGAAGCGGAACCATCCTCCATAGCTGAAATCAGCATTCACACCAACGGTAGTCTGCCCAAAGTTGTACTTGGAGATATCATCCTTGGTGCCAATGACGAACTTAATACTATTGGCTGGTTCGTAGTGGCCACCCTACCTTGCTCGAACTTCCTGGATGAACTTTTTGTATTGCAGCGCCGTGTAAGCGGGCATCAAGTGAGTCGACGGCTTGGGAATTCCCTTGACCATCTGTTGGTTGCGCACAAGCTCTTGAGGGCTCATCACATTGCCCATGGCAGCTGGCATGTTATAGCTATGTTGGAGTTCCACTATGTTAGCACGCATGCTATGTTACTGGGCAGGAAGAAACTATTTGCAGTAAAAGGATTAGGGACAGTTGTGAGTCTGCTGGCTCACCCTTCATAGGCCTTCTCAATGTTTAGACCGCGGGCCAACTTTACTCGCGTTTTTTGGATGGTCACGGTCATCGGTCCACCGATCTTCAGCCGGATCTGCTCGATCGTGCTGGTGGCCACATCCAAAGCATTGAGGGCTGTCACATACTCGTTGGCGTGGCCGTTGTTGATCTACTCTCGGAAGTTCAGGCTATTGGTGAGCCCTTTCTTCTCTTCCTTGGTGAATTTTTCGAATGCCTTGTCTTGTTGAATGTCGACTGCGGCTTGGGCGGCCTAGAGATCTTCGCGGGCGTTGTAGAGGTTCTGGCTCTCGACAGGGCCAGGTTTTGCTCCCTGATCATTGCTCCTGGATTAGACTATGCATACAAGAAGCGATGAATATGAGGGTCCTTACAGTGTCAGCCCAGTTGAGAACACTTGCAAATTAAGTCAGCCATACAACCAGAAAGCTTCGGCGGGATACTTCACGTACCTCTGAAGAGCATCGTTATAACCGCGAGAGTGCCCAGGGTCGAAGAACAGGTCGTCCGAGGCTAGCAGATGTTACCAATGTTGTGGATACCCTGATTGGTGTACTCATTAGGGATACCATCGCCACCAACAGGTCCCTTCTGGGCCTCGCTGCCAAGGAAGAAGGCACTGGCACTGCCACCATCGGCGCCAATCTTGTCCTTGACAGCCTGAGCATAGTCTAGCCTGAAGATCTTGTTGATCTTGTCGGAGGCAGACATAGCTGTGATTTGTGAAGTATAAGAGAAGAGAGTTTGATGATATGAAGGGTAGCTTATTAAAATGAGAAGTCGCAGATGCTGATGAGAAAGGTAGATACGAGTGTTCAAGCATGAACTCGGCTGGGCTTATATAGATGTTCATTTGCAGCTGTCTTGACTGCAGAAATCCCAGGTGCGCCTCGTGGAAATCTACGCGCAAGGTAGAGGGTAGGTTCTTCTTGTTGAGGTAAGGGCGTTCTGATCTAGCGAGAGCAGAGGTAAATCAGTAGGCTATATGCAGCGCTGGCCCTTTGTAATACGGCGTCCTAGGTAGAGTCTAGGCTCAATTGCTGGATAGTATGGTTGATGATACGCAACGAAATAGGTTTCACGTATTAGACCTGGTGGAAGGCCGCCGATAAGGTCGCATTGCTCGTCATTTGTACCATAGAACTCGCTAACTCTAGGAAGACTGCTGTCGGAAGCAGGCGATAATGGTATATTGTTATTTTGTTGACGTTGGCGTTTTGGACGTCGAGCTTATTAGCAGCGCTACTGCTTCTAGTTCGGCGACGCGAAGACATAATGGGTGTTGCTTGATTTGGAGATTCAAAGGGTAACATTGATTTTACCAAAAATAGGTAGAAGCAGGATAAGGTAATACGTTATGACAGGTTGGCAGATTCAATTGCACTAATAATATTTTTTGGACCAATCACAGAAGCAGAAAGCGGCGCCCGTATGTCAATTGCCTTAGGAAGACCCCCACAGACGCGGATACCTGTATTCGGAACTCAACGATCCTTAACATGCTGCGACACTCCTTTTCAAAAACAAGTACAGGTTCTTTCAAGACTCAAATGAGCGTCACCATCTGGCCCCTCTTAACTCGGAGCTCATCATTGATGAACTCTTTCTCACCGCAGGCTGAACGGAAATGCCGCCAATCATTGAAGCATATTTGCCGGAATGTTACGGCGCCAGTCCTCTTTAGCCGATAATCATTCCGCTCCACCAGAATTCCGACTCCCGAATATTTTATATCCTCGTATCCGTCGTCCTCAACTGCATCCTCTCCGTCATTACCCTCCTCGACAGTATTCTCCTCGATTTCGCCATACTGAATGTCATCTTCCTCGTCACAGTCCTTGATCTCGTGTCCAAGTTTGTCTATAAACACCCTCGATGCCGCAAGCAAAAGAAACTCACATTGAGCCTCATCTTGGGCTGGTTCAGTATCCGGAAAGGCCTCAATCACAGCATCACTCTGAATTCCATCAACCACAACCATCCACCGTTCCTTTTCGGCTACAAACCGAAGCGTACCTTTGCAGATATGTGCCTGTATTTCAATCTCCTGATTACCAAGCTCGGAGCGTTCGTCTGGCGGCCACGCGTTGCCTGCTGGATTATTAGTGGGTCCCCCAACAACGACTGTCTCCTGAGCTTTCCCACTGCCCTCGGGATTTTCAAGCTTCGGCGCAATGCGTTCAAGCTCCTGCTTCTCCACAAGGACATTCTCTCTCTTCAAGCGCCATTGAAATGGCTCTTTAAACTGGAATCCGACCTTACCTCCTTCATGATTAGTCGCCACGTAAAACCGGGGGTTACCTCGGAACCTTGGGACAACCTGGATTGGCACATCCAAGTAAGTCCACGACCAGTGCGGAAAGGGATTCTCCTCCTTTGCTTCCGTTGGGCTCGGGCCCTCTTTCTTTGCGTCCAACCCCTTAGGCCGGCACACTACCTGCCATGCAAGTTGTTCCTCGAGGCGGCCAGACCATAGTCCATGTGCATACTCCTGATCTAGCATGTCGCGCATGAGTTTCGCTATACCCCAAATGGCGTTGTCTTTATCAACATGCTTGGTGAGAATACAGGAGGTGTAGGTGCGGACGACCCTCTCCCATAGCTTCTCGAGGGAATCTTCGGAGGTCTTGACCAGTGAGCGCACGGTAATGTCAGCCTCTTGTAGGCGTTGGCGCCAGTGGCGATCTGTAGCAGCTTTGCTGTCAAGGGATTGTGGGAGACCGGCGGGGAGGGCCTCGCAAGCGGAAACGGTAGCGCAGTCCCAGAACATCTGGTCCCGACCGAATTGGAGCAGACGTGGCGATAACATGCGTTCTGATACTTGTTAAGACGGTTTTTGGGGAGTTGACTGGGGTCTTTACCTTGAAAAACCCAGCCGCGAGTGTAAAGGGGGCTACCGAGGAGGACTTTATCCCAAAGGTCGGAGGAGAGGACTAGCCAGTCGCGGCCGCTGAATCTGAGGGACGAAGTGTTCGGCGAGTATTTGACGGGTAACGCGTCCGATGTGCGATTTCGATATAGTCCACCGTGGCAATTTTCCGAATCAGCAGCCGCGAGGTTGCAATAGGAGTTTCGATACACCTTATGCATGAGCTTTGCCTCGACGTCCCAGTCTTCCTTATTGTCTTGGATGATACAAATAGAGTCAATCCAGATGTATCGTATCCCAAGTTTCCGCGTGATTTCGATGGCATCCAAAAAGTTTTTGTTGCTGTGGATGGTATTATTAGGTGAGGCTTCATCACCATTGTGATCATCTGGGCTCTTCCATGGGATCCCGTTGATGACGAAGTCAGTAAGTTTTGCGGCTGTAAGCTTTACAAACTTCTCCTTGCCCCAGCAGTGACTCAACGTCATGTATCGCGTCCTTTGACCTCCAACCGTCTTCCCATCGGTCTGGACGATGCGGATATGTAATGGTGGCCACGGGCCGTCCGGGGCGCCCAGATCTAGAACGCGGGTCGGTACGAAGTCACTGCTGGCATGCCGCGCCTTGCATTTAGGATGGTTGTTAACGCAGTTCTTCAGCCAAGCCTCCATCTGCTTTTGAGATGTTTCGGAATCGGTTCGTAGTCCGAAAGACCCCTCTTCAGGAATCGCGCCAAAATCTTGGACACGCATTAGTGTCTCGACTTGAGGAATAGAAGAAAAATAACCCACCAACTTTGGGGTACAGGTCAAAGAAGATTTCTGGGAGCTTTTTACTCTCCTTCGCCTTGTGCCCCTGGCTGAAGACGGGACGGAATGTGATGTAGACGTAGCTCCTGGACTCCCTGATCTGAGTAGTCCCACGTATGCTCCAACGATAGACTGGCATGAAGCCACCATTGTAATCGATGGTCCCAATAGATGCAAGTAGCTTACGACAGAAGACGCAGCCTGATTCGGCGGCATTCTTGAACTTGACAGGATCAGTGTCATGATAGCCCCATGACTTGTCAGACTCTAGGACGTTCTGTTGGCAAAAGTCGCAGATTTCCATGGTCCCTTACGTTAAGCGTCGCTGCAAATGTCAGACACGATGAAGATGGAGAAGTTAACAGACGAGGCTCTAGCTCCTGGATGCGGAGGTGTCAGACCGAGGATTCCATCCAGGGGGTTATTATTAACTGTCCACCAGGGGCGAGCAGGGCCTATGAATGCTCAGAGGGGGTGGCAGGGTTATCTGGGTAGCATGCAGGGGTTTGATTTAGGCGCCTTCACACCGTGCGAGGTACCAGGAATTATTCGTGTCCACGTGAGGATCTGAAATTCGAAACTGGCTGGAGCCTGTAGCCTGCAGCCTGATTACTAGCTCGTAGTTACGTACTGCCTCCCATCTTTGCAGACTTGTAAGCGTCCACAAAGCTGTTTTGGCCCTCTAAGATCAATCACTAGGCTGACAGAACAGATGAAAGAGGACTGAGGATACACAGCAGGACCTTGTCCAGTGATCCAGCTGGCTGCTTTTACTTCAAGTCCTGATTTTCTCATGGGGGATGTCTAGTATTTCTTCGAAGGAAAAGGTTCTGCGTAGCCGCTTCGAGTTCATTCTCAAGCTCCGAGGTCACGTACACGGCCCAGCTGCCTGTCAAACTACACCAAGACCCTCAAACCGTAGTCATCCAACACAATGCTTGTAAAGTCGAGACTTGACCGAGCCCGCATCAGAGATTCACAGTAGTTCTCGTTTGCGTACGTATGGAACGTCTTGCAGTAAGTCTTCATCGGATAGCTGAGGACGGAATCAACCACGATAAAACCGCGTGCAGCACGGAGCATTTCTTTAAGTCGTTGGTGGTATTCGCGGACCTCAAGTGGTGGTGCCCCTATCTTGGAGACTTTCTTCGTCGAAGTGACCGATATAGCCTGCACTCTATTCGGCTGATGTTCCCTGAATGTTGTCGCCGTGTTTGAGATAATTCTATCCAAGACCTCATACCATAAGCCATACTGGTCGAAGTCGTATTTCGTTACTGCCGCGATGAGATTGAAACCTAGTTCCCGCTGGGCCGGTGGCTGGTTCTCAATACAGCGCATGCCGGCATCAAAAAGGGCTACAATGTTGGAGGGCAGGACGTCTGCCACAGGCGCGTGTACAACATCCACAGCCTGGGCTCGGTGAACGTCATCGAGACGTAAACGAGCGAGAGTGACGTTTGCCTCAGCCCGATATTGAATCGTCCCTCGTAAGTTCTCGAGGGTTTCTTGGTTCCCGGCTTCTGTAAGCAATATGCCCAAGTCGGAATGTGGAGGCAAGTCTTCGTTGGCGCTTTGTAAGCCGAGGTTCCCGTGCTCTCTTTCGAGGTCCCAGTCAACAAATCGAAGGATCTGGGTGTTGTGATCAAGGTTCTTTTCGATGCTGTCGAAAGGTTGGACGAAATTTTCGTAATCACTGCTTTACAACCGTCAGGCCTAATTGCACGTAAAGGCTAGAATGCAGACTTATTGCAAGTATAGAATCTCAAAATAGGCATATGCCATGATATGAAGCAGAATTCAACGGAAACAAGGGTGGGGTCCACGTTAACTCACCACTTGTCACAAGTCTTGCCTTCGTTTCTGCACGGTCTACAGAGCACATGGGCTTCGGGCCCTCGGCCTCTGTCTTCGCAACTCTTGCACTTCCAGTACACAGAGAGAACCGTTTTGGCTTTGGGACACGACTTGGAGTCACAGCTCGGAGTCCGGGGAAGCTTCTTGAAGCAGGGGACACGTGATGTGAGAAACACCTTCAGTCCTTGGGACGCCATAATTGGCAGTTGCTGTTCAAGGAACATGTCGGCCTCGACGCTACATCTGTCAAAATCATCTATGATTAAAAAGGCGCGATCAAGCTTGCTAAGACGTAAGTAGAGTGCGTCTAGTAGACGCTGGATGTGAAGATTGTTGTCATGGCCACGATACTTCCTAGCATCAAGGTAAAGTTGATATTTTGTAATGCATTCATCGTTTGGATCCGCCTTGGTATATTTGTTGCAGAGCTGATGGAATATGCTGTGAAGAAAGTCCTCGACGAATGTATCATCATGCTCGACTACATCCGTTTGGAGAAAGATCGAGGCGACATGTTCTGTCGTGGCACTATACTTTTCTTTGAGTTTCTTAGCTACTACAGCGGACAATGTAGTCTGAATAAGGCAGAAGAGGTTTTGTAATTAGCACATGAATCTCCGGTTTACCAGGCCGCGATCATCTCCAATGAATGCCTCGGTATCCGAGCAACCAAGCGACGATCTGGGGTTTCAACCGTCCTGTTCAAGCAAGCTTCAACCTGCCAGACAAGCAGGTAAAGAACTAGGAGGGCATTCTCACCTTGCCTGAGCCTGGTGCACCAATACAGCGCATCATCCAATGCTCGTCCTTTAGTTGGTGCCAACACTCAAACTCGTCGCTGCCGAGGATGAAGTCACACAATGGCGGCCATATATCTGCGCTCGAATCATGCCGTTCGCTCAATGCAGGATTGATTCCTTGACGCTGCTCGAACAGCATTCCCAGAGAGGGCCGCGCTCCCTCCTCAATGTAGCTCATGTTTGGAATGTGGCGGTCTGGAGAAGATGTCGAAATGGACAGAAGGCTCGTCAAAACAGCGCTAACAAGTCTTGGTGCCCAGGGCCAGCGGACTAGGCGGAAGTAAAAAGGAAACGCCCTTGTTTAAAAGGTTGCACAAGGCATGCCGGCATGAAGGAATCAGGGGTTGGGTTTCGGAAACATGGGAAAGACAACTACTATCACCGTCAGCGGCAACTCCATCCAATCAAAACCGCCGGCACGCATCCTGCCCTAAGAACGGCAGCAAGATCTCAGGGCACAGTAAAAGGCTGGGAGACTGGGCGCAACTTGAAGCGCTGGTGGCGTAGCGGGTATTGATCAGGTGTGGATCACAGGCGACAGTCGACCATGGGTATGGATAATTTCCTGGTTGTTCCGTCACTGGGAGGTCATCTGTCAGATACGACGCCCGGCTGCTGAGTGGGTGGTGGGATATACTAATGCACCTATGGGGCTGTGCCCTGGGGGCAGGCAGTCTGGACCCGCCGCGAAATCTCATCGTTTTGTCTGTTGTGTCCCGACGTGAGTGGGTGACTCTGTCACCTTCGTACGTCAACTCTGAAGTGCGACGCATCGATTTGGTATAATGAGAATATATTTGATATTATTAAGACGCGTTGCTACAAAATGTAGTATTTGGTCAGATAACGGGAGACTTTCTTAACTCAAAACTGTTAGTGGCGTGTGGCGAGAGTGTTGTCCGTTTGACCAGTTTCACCACACATACAAAATCAGGCTGAGCCACGTAGGCCGGAGTGCAACCGCAACCAGGGCCCAGAGATTAGCTATTTGTCGCCAAGGCTCGACCTTTCTAGCTAATAAGCGCACAGTCAAGGGAGCCAGCCCAGACGGTAAGCCCAAGTCTAATATTGGATCGGGTATAGTACCCATCATTCGCAAAGCCGCGTTCGATACTGCTTTTCCATCAGCCAGCGAGAAAAAGCAGAATGTATTTAAAAAGATGCCACTAGTTTGAGTTGCGGAGAGAGGTTGTCGTGTCTTTTACATCGTGATCCATCCTCACCTCAGCCATTCATTTAATCACCCACATCAGTCACTCGTTTGAATACTGACCTTAGCCACTCATTCGCTCACATTGAGCGCCTTACGACGTCTACGATGATGTTCAGACAATTTATCGTGCTGCTGAGCCTGTGCTGTGGCTTGGCTCTCGCGCGGCCGTCTCTTCGTTCGCCAAAGAAGCTTCCACGCCGTCAAGAGGTGCCTGTCGCAGAAAGGCCAATGTGCGGACGCATCATCGACGAAGTCAACAGGGGTAGGACCAAACTGTCAACGCGAATTTCGTATGCGAGTCTAACAAGCATAGGGTTTCTCGTCTTCTATGCGGCCGATGCCTATGAATGCTTGATGAGCGTCCCGTTCCATCAAGCCCCCGCTCTTCGCTTTATCGAATACTATAACACGACGATGCAGTTCCAAAGCACTCTATCGTACGTCAAGAACCCGCCGCCGGGCTACCAACAGCCTGCTTTCGACTTTATGGGGGAATTGGAAAAGTTAAAGCATAACGTTACGGTCGGGGTATTCAAGAGCCAGTACGACTTCGAGGTCGCCCTACAATACCTGGTTTACTCGGTCCATGATGCCCATGTCGATTTGTATGCGGGCATTTTATCTGTCTTCTCATATGCCAGCCCCGTTCCGCTTGTTGCGGCATCGATTGATGGCAAGAAGGCACCTAAAATCTATTTCGCAGGTACATCCCACGATCAACTACTGCAAATGCGCTTCTGTTTGCTGACTGGAAACATGCAGACGACATCATCAGCCGCCGGGAGGACATGGCCAGGGGCATGGAGAACCCAATTTCGGCGGTATCACGTATCAATGGCGAGCCAGCCATAGAGTATCTCACCCGGTTCGGGGCCCGCCAGTCAGTCGGTATGCTTGAGCCCCATGCCGACTGGAATGAGCTTATGGACCACCCTGTCCAAGATGTCCAGGGGATTTACAGCATCTTCTCTGGCTCAAGCACATTTTACCCAGGCAATTCCCTTACCTTTTCATTCGAAGATACAAGTATTGATGATGTGGAAACAAATTGGCTTGCCATTTATAACAATGCCGAGTTCACTGGTCCTTTGGAAACCCCTGGCGATTTTTATAACTTCTTTGTTCTCGGCCTACTACCTGCATCATACTACAATGTCCAGCTCCCGGAAGCCTTTGGAGGACCCCCGGATGAAAACGCACCTACAACCGAAGTCCTGCCAGGTATCGGAGACGCGCCTATTGACGATACGATTGAGGAAGAGCTCAGCGACTGGTACATAAGGAGCTATGGCGCCTTTCCAAAAAAGGTCGATTTTACGCAGGAGACCCTGGGCCTTAACAATGAGACGATTCTAACAGGATACTTCTATGAGGCCATATCCACTGGGGTTATCAGCATCCCCCATTTCAGCCAGTTTGGATTGCACGTGGGCAGCTTCGGAGACGGCCTTACGGGATTCATGGAAAAGGCCAAGGAAAAGAGCATCCCCCACATCATTATCGACCTGCAAAAGAACTACGGTGGATCGACGGGTATTGCGCTGATGCTTTTCCGAGAATTCTTCCCCGGAATCGACCCGTTCGCAGGGAGCCAGCGACGCAGCCATGAGTTGGGGAACATTCTGGGCTCGGCTGCCACACAATACTGGCAGAACCTTGCGGCAGATTCGGAGGAGCGCCTGAAGCTTCTGGCGGCTGAGTGGATAATTACGACGCGGATCAACGCTGAGACTGGGCGAAACTTCACTTCATGGGAGGAATATGCGGGACCCAGACGGCAGAACGAGGACGATTTCTCGCTTGTTGTAAGTTATAAGCATTCGCCAAAGCAAAGGCCCCCACTGACCTTTCTGTCCCTAGGAACAATACGATCTTGATAACCCACAGTTTCATGCGGCAGCATTTGATGGATGGCTTCTCAACCGCTACCTCAACGATGATGCGGAGGATGATAGGCTTAAGTGGAAGCCTGAAGATATTGTTATCGTAAGTACACAAAAGAACGAAACCTCTATGTATTCATTACTACAGCCTCGTGATCTAACATTACACCTACTACAGCTCACGGACGGAACCTGCTCCTCTGCATGCGCCTTGTTCGTCGAACTTGCAGCCCAAGCTGGCGCCCGTACGGTCGTTATGGGTGGCACTCCAAAACCAGGACCAATGCAAGCCGCAAGCGGGAGTCGCGGCGCACTCGTCTACACCGGTAAGCTTCTCGACCATGACCTAGACTGGATCGGCGAGCGAAACGAGACTGTCCGGTCCCTTTCCACCCCCAACCGAAACGAGACGGGCATATACATCAACCATGCTGCCTTCAATCTCCGTGACCAGTTGCGTGCGGATGATACCTCCACGCCCCTCCAGTTCCGTTACGTCCCGGCAAATTGCAGGCTCTATTTCACCGTCGATAACGTTTACAACATGACGGCTCTCTGGCATGACGTCGCTCGCGCCACGTTTGAGGACCCAAGCATCTGCGTTGAAGGCTCCACAGAATACGCCTCGGACAGGGAACAGATGGCACCGGAGCCGCCCGCGGTTGAGGCCCCAGCACCGCTATCTGCGTCGACTTTCACTGTTGATTACGAGCTGACCACGGACAACGGCCTTCCGGCCGCCGAGCCATTTGCATCGCACGACCCAAGAGCTCCGCCCACATATGGACCATGCCCAGCCAGCAACGTGTGCTTAGGTACACGCAGTAGTTGCAAAACTATCAAGTACTCCTGTGGCGACGCCTTTGGCTACACGATCTACGAGGAATGGGGTTGCGCACCGCCTTGCCAAGACCTAGGTGGTTCTTCCGGCCAGGAATGCGTCACTCCCAAATTCACCGGCACGATGGAAAACTCCAATCAAGCAGCCTTGAAACATAAGAGAGTGGTGCCAGGAAACTTCAAACCAAAGAAGATCCAGCTTCCTTATCAACAGAGTCCAGGCGCGGGCCACCAAGTCCAGACCCCCCCAAATCGTACCCCTCCTAAAGGATACGTCCCACCCAAGCATAATAACAGGGACTTTTGTTCGACTTCACGTTTAACTCAAAGGGTGGTACGCACGGTTTCCCTGGTTTGAACCTAATCAGCCCGGGACTCTATTTGCTGGGTCGAACTATCTAGGCTCCAGATACATATGTAGCATAGCCAGTTCATGATGAACGGAATCTCTTAGCATTTGCTACACTCTATAGTCGTTACTTTAATTTAAGTCTATACTTATAGCCAATCTTTAAGTACTTAGCTAACAGCAGCTTATATCTGTTAGTAAAATACCCTAAGCTAGAGACGAATAGAGTTAAGTCTAAGTCTAAAGTTATTAACAGGGCCTTATTTGTTTATAGACAATAACTAAGTATATTTAGGACTGTTTTAGGTTTAATGCACTAGGCTATCAATGCAATTTCTAACGAGTAAAGAGGTGCGTTATAGTTTATGTTAGTATAAGCTTAAATAAGTATATGGTTACGGACCGCCTCCGCCACCGCAACATAGGTTATGGCAGGGTCGTTTGGCATGATGATGATGTCTTGAACCGGACCATGAACAGACCCAGGTACCAGGTTCGCCGGGAGAGTTCGTTCCACCCTCCCCTTTCTCTTCACTCCAGTCACGTTTTCTCATTTATCCGTGTTGCAGGTTCGTGTCCTTGTCTAACATCATCACTCGGCGCAGCTCTCACTCTTCCCTCCCACTCCTACGCCCCTTCTGCCGCCGCCGTCTGGATGCTGCGTCGTCCGAAGCGCTGCGAGACCTGCTTCGAGACACTCCCTATCGCTCTCTCGACGACAGAGGAGCCGCACTTCCAGATCTCCTTTTCCGACAACGGGGTGCGAAGAAGCAGATGGCCGACATTGAGCTGGAGTTGAAGCGTCTCCTCGCCATCCGCCACCTAGTGGAATGGAAGTCGAGCAAGGATGGACGGGCGAGTGGGCGGAGTTAGAAAGGTTTAGAAGAAATGAGGGGAAAAAGGGCAAAGATCTCCTTTCCATTGCCGTTCTCCTTCACAAGGTTAGTTCATCTACCGCCACCCCCGTTTTTCATCCTCTTTCATTCCAGAATCGTTCCCTCTAGGTCCTCTTCCCCACGCACCTGATCATCCTTAACATTGCTGCCGCCCCATTGTGTGCCTGTACTCGGCCAGACTTTAGCCCCACGAACACCCCGTGCTGCGGATTGAGCCGAAGGCGGAGAGGATCTCGTCACCACCTAGAGACGTCAACGTGGCCTCACGGTTCTCCGTCGTCTTTTCCACCACGATGGCAAGGCTCTTACTCCGCCTCTAAACCGTCCCTACTGCCCTGGCACGACGATGTCCTCACAGCAACCACCCGAACCACCAAGACCACGAAGAGCTCTAAAGCTCAACCGAGGCCGTGGGTCCTATCCTCGCCGGCGCTGAGGTGTCGGTCGTGGCTGCCGTGATCGTCGGCGCTCTCATCATCGCTGGACTCGAAGAGATCCTGGAAGCCGACACGGGAGCCGCCGGCGGCGGCGATGAGGCCGAAGATGGACTGGTTCATTTCCATAAACACGGACGGGCCCTGGTTCGGGACCGGATCCCCTTCTCTCCTGTTGTCGCCCTCCTTTAGCCTTTGGGGAAGTTCCATAATTGGTGTGTTTGGCTCGAATCGCTTCTTCTGAAGCTTCTTGCCAACGCGCTTCTTGACCTCGTGGTCTCAGCCGAAGCTCACGCTCGCAGCACCCGCAGGGCCTGGCGTCGCCATAGCTATCGAGGTTGCGCTGGGGCAGCGGTGGTTGAGCGAGCGAGCGGTATGGCGAAGGATATCTTGGTAGAGGGAGAGATTCGTCCAGATCGGCAGCCTTCATTGTTGTTGTTTTTTACCTGCCGAGGTGAGAGGCGGAGGAGGTAGAGGACGTCAGAACAGAGATTGCGTCGGGGGAGAGGAAGTCAAGTGTGGCTACAGCGGGTTCATTCGTGCGGCGGCGATAAGGTTTCGAGCTCGACGGGAGAGTTGCGGGATGCACAACAGAGGGAAATGGCCGGCCAGGGTAGATTCAAGCAAGGTAAGATCGCAACGAAGTAATGCTTTGGTTGCTCTTGGGGATGGGTGGATGGCCGGTTGGTTCGAGATGAAGACGGACTGGCGTATCATTCCGAATGGTGTTTGCAAGCTGCGAATGTCATTCCCGGGGCGGCGGTGAAAAGCTGCTTTGCGAGGCGTTGCAGGAGTGGCTGGTTGCCCGACTGTGCCGCTGAGATCAGGGTCGGGTCGTCGTTGTTACGTTTGATCAGTCTAGAGTTCCTGTTCCACAGTTTCAACGTCAGCCAATATAGCCAGAGAGAGAGAAAGTAAGCGAGGGGCGTACGGCTGACGTTACTGGTTGACGAGAGTGTTGCGATGGGCCAGGCAAACAGTGACGCAATGGGGTGAAGCACTCCAAGTCGGACTGGACGGCCAGACCGTGTAAGAGCGGGTTAACGATCTTGTTCCGGAGTCGCGAGGTGGCGGCCAGTCGAGTAAGGTCGCCAAGGCGAGTGCGGCCGCTGGAGCCGCGAGCTAGCTTGCGCGCGATGGCTGTGAGAATCTCGGGCGTGAGTGCCAAGTACAAGAACGGCAGTATCTGGTTTATTTTTCAGAAAGCAGACGCGTAGGTAGTAGGTAGGGCAGGCATGGTTGCCGGCCCGGCACCAGGTGAAAGCAAGCACTTACCAAGGGGCCCAAACTAAGCTAATCTAAGCTTAGATAAAGTGGTGGAGAACGTGGGCCAGCCCCCAACCAGCTCGCTGCTCGTGCAAACGGCATCGCCATCCCAGCGTCGACGTCGTTGGAATAAGAAGGGGGTTATGAAGATATGGATCACCAGCCACCTCGCCGCTTGGCGCGAAATAGAGGGTCAGGATCGTAGGGATGACGACGGGGCCAAGGCGAAAGAGGGCGAGGAACCGGCTGACGGCTAGCAAGTAGGAGGCGGCGAGGCGCCAACTTGCTAGTGCAACTACCCTGCCGAAGGGGGGAAGAACTGCAGACAGAACAATGCAAGAGCGAGCAGGCTTCTCGCAGCAGCTTCCAGCCGAAAGATAAGTCCCCCTCCTGACCCTCTACTGCCGAGCTTAGTCGTCTGGTACGCATTCATTCTTTGGGCCCGCGAGTAACGTCACGAGAGCGACAGGAGTGGCTGAACTGATATTGCAAGGTGTTTCTGCCGCAGGAGAGGATGAAGGACAGAGCGAGAAGGCGCACGGTGTTGCTGCGGGCAAGCTTGACTTGATTTGGGTGCAGTTTGAGTTGTAATGGGCCGTCATGCTTGGGTTCTGTCGTTTCTCTGTTTCTTGATAGCAAGACATTATCATCGCCCTGGCCGACTCTTTCCATCGATGCTTTCCGTCACCGCCCGGACCGCATTGGAACCGTATTTCCGTGGGCCGCCTGTTTATGAAGCTGTTGATGCCGTGCGCCTTAATCTTCTCCACCTTGATATTCATCTTCTCCCCCGCCTTCTCGAGGTCGGCCAGCTTGCTGCTCGTCCCCACCTTGACGCAGGCGCCAAAGATATTGGTCTTGTCTTTGTCTCTCGACGCGTCAGCCACCAGTATCTTGGCCTTCTCCAGACGCTTGGGCTGGTTGACGCCAATCTCCTTGTCCAGGATGAAGCCCTCCGTCAAGGTACGAGTCGCCCAGCTTGCCCGCCAGCCTTCTTGATGATCTGGATGTGGCTCAGGTCGGAGAAGTTCTCGAGCGAGACGCAGGAAGGCATCGCAGGCGAGCTTGAAGAAGCCTCCAAGTGGAGCTTGGAAAGAACAGACTGGAGCAATTCGCGCGGTTATAGCCTGATCCGTAGCCGAAGAATCCCACGCATCTGTATCCCATCCGTAAGGCCGTGCTAACGTCCTGCGCCGCCTCCCAACCAACTGTACAATCCATCATCAATCCTTGATTCCGTCACATCAGGTATCGGGGTATTTGCAGGCGCATCAAAGACGGCCGATGATGAGGTAGATGACGGGTCCAGGGAAGCGATGGGCCTAGTTGTTGCGTGGATCAAGACGGCCTCGTTGCTGCATCATCAGCGAGTGCAGCAGACCTTTCGGCCCGCGCCGGGCGACGAGTGCATCATGATTCTTCCTCATGGGTATGGGACAGTGTGATAGACGCATTTCTCATAGTCGAGGGTCTCGAGAGTGAGGTGAAGAGCAGCGTACCACTCATCCCACCTTTCTTCACCCTCGAGGTCGGGCACCTCCCTCCAACCTTGCCCGGTTGGCGGCCATAACGATGATGGAAAGGGAAAAAACCCATCAGACAGACTGCAGTAGCCTAGCGACGCGTCGATGCTGTGCGCATCCCTCGGAGGCAAGATCTTAAAGCGCGCATGCAAACGTTACGAGATTGACAGCGCGCTGATCATAGAGGTTTGCTTATGTGTCGAAGAAGGAACGTAGGGATGGTGAAAGGGGTGCATCGTGGGCCTTAGTCTTAGTATGGAATGAATCATGGATGGGTCCGCTCGCGTTAGGCGCGTGATGCTCTGTTGATGTTGACGTTAATGTTGATGGGGCTGCCTGCGAAACAATGCAGGCGAATGCTCTTACATCAAACCCGATCGAATCCCCACGACACTGCAGCGCTATTATCAGCTGGCATCGTCATAGTCACCGTCAACGTTCTTATCAGCGGTGGCCGAATCTGATCCCCAAGATAAGATCTTGATGGAACAAAAGGTTGAAGCAGGCGAAACAAACAAACGTCGTCTTGGACCAAGACGTATCCCGTAATGCGGCGCCCATCCGCGAGCTTCACACCGATACCGACTCCGATTTCTCTCATCCCACCGAGATGGACAACGATCCCGTCCCGTCCCCAACGCCGGCGGACCTCCATGCCGGCATCAAGCTCACCTGCCAGCACATCTTCCATTGCCTCTTGAAATTACACAGGCCACTCTGCGCTCTCAAGACCACAAGCCCGCATCAAGACTTTATGATGGATACCAAGCTGTCCTTCACCGCCTGGATGCTCGAAACCGCCGTCGAAGCCGGCTACGGCGCTTCGCCCCCCTCCCCCGGGCCCACGCCAAAGGCCTCCTGGACCCCGACCGCGAGGTGTGGTAACAGTGTCGCTTCTGTAGTAGCCCGCCGTCCGTCGACGTCGACGTTGCGGCCGCCGTCGCCGTCGCCGACTGGCACTTTGCGTGCGAAGCGTCCTTCCTCAACCTTTCGGCCTCATTGGCTTCCCGTCCGGCCGCTGCCGTCAACAACTACTTCAAGTCCCGGAGCAAGCAGCAGTCCGACCGCCGCTTTGCTGCCCTGCGCAGCTCCATGCTTGATGTCGACGACACCTCGCTGTACTCGAATAACCAGCACCCCAACGGCCAAGGCCATTGACGAGCTGCAAAATGACCTGCTCGCCCCGCTCGTCCGCTCCCTCAGCCTCCATAGTCGTTGCTTGCGTCGAGGCCGACAAGCAGCGTCCCAGGATGCGTCGCCTCGCTGCAAGTCGTGGCTGGCACCGTGAAGCAGCCTACACTGTTGGTGGCGGCGGCGAGGAAGATGAGGACAACAACAAAAAGGGTGCCGCCGGGGTCTCGTCGAGCACTGATACTGTCGTCGTCCATGTTGCCCGCACCCTTTTTACTACCGACATGGCTGCCGAGGCTTCAGCCCTCCGCGCCGAGTCGGCCGAACGCCTCGCCGAGAGCCAATCCGCGGTCGCGGCCGTGAAGTCCACCGCAACGACGCGACCCCTCGCGTCCCGCGAGCTCGACGCGGCCGCCGCCGCGCGATCCCGAGCAGCCTCGACCACCACCATGACAACCCCCGCCGACTGACTCGGACAACAAGAGGTGGGCGCAGAGGACGGCGGCGACGACGACGTGCCGCCACCACTGCCGGCCATGAGCGAAGAGGATCTGGCGATGACGTCGGAGGGCCTTGTCCTTGCCGTAACATCGGTTGTGCCGGTGGCGGCGGTGAACCATTTCCGGGACGCAACGCAGGCCTCGAGCCTGGGCCAGTCATTCTCGCGATTGCGGCGGCGCCATCTGCGCTGGTGGCGGGCCGCTTCTTGGTGCAGGCGCCAGCGCTGACCTAGGCAGACATGAATCTAAGTCGCCTTTCCAGTGCGGGTGCAGCCAGGTGCGGCGCAGCTCGTTGGGTCAGCGCAAACGGTGGTCCTCGTGTTCGGCATCCCAGTATGTTGTAAGATTATGCTCCCTCGCGACCTTGCCAACGGTGTACTCAAGGCTGGATATCATTTCTGCGCCGATAGCGGCCCAATCGTCGTTAGTCAAGGAGGGAAGGTCAATATTCATCCAGGCAACAAGCTGGTGGAGGTCAGGATGGCCAGGACCCTTGCGAGGGCGTTATCTCGGGCCAGCAGCACCGAATCGACAGCGTATGCACTTGATAGAGGGAGGTTCCTTGAGGCGCTTGATGTCGGACGGGCTGAGGCGGTAGAAGGCGAGGAACGACTTGATCAAGATGTTGTCAGATGGCCGCCATATGACCTTCTTGTCGCGGGAGACGGAGAGGAGCTCGGCAAGAATACGGGTGCGGAAGATGGATGAGGGTCTGTCCTGGCTCGGGAGAAGTGTTCAGCAAACACAGGCATTTTTTGAAGAGAGATAGGGGAAGTGTGACGGAGAACTGTCAAGCCTTATGGATGACTCGTCATAAGATGGTCGTCGCCGGGATCAGACATGGTGGTAGTGGAGATGGCAAAGGATAAATGGGAGAGGAGATGGTCAGTGGAGAGAACATGGGAGAGGTGATGAGGGGGAAGAGAGAAAAGGGGGGGGGGATGGCATAGAGCACTTAGAGGACCGATAGATATTTTGACCGTGCGTCCCGGGCCAGATATCTAATAGCTGCAGGTGATTGATTCCGTTTATCGCCAGTCGTTGCCGGCCTCGAGCAGAATGGCCTCAGTCTGATTTCCCTGCTTGCTCGAGAAGTCAAGATATCTCTCTGCTTCTCTTTCAGACATTCTCCATGCTGCACTGCAGCCCGTTTGCCTCCACGACACACACAAACAGCCCTTTCCTCGTTGGAGCTATCGTTAGCAAGCACTAAGCCACGAGCGCAAATCCCAAAGACGACGAGCTCGTGTCCCGCTGTAACACTATTGTTACGACCCAACAAGCATAACATAACCAGGGTCGCCCCACAGGCGCCTAGCGGTTACAAGACAAGGTTATATACGGGATAGCACAGGAACACGTCAATCCCCTCTTGGAACGGAAGAACTAAGGAAGGTTACGTAAAGATAAGAAGGACCGACAATAGATAAGCAGTCCATGACCCAGGACCAACATACCAAGGATTAATCCTTATTAAGGACTAACTTCAAGAGATTAGTCCTAATAAGGCAACAATAAGATATAAGGACAATTATTTTAACTAGACTAGATACTTTCTATAGCTCTTTAGTAATTAACTTTGTGATTTATTTTCTTATAAGTAACTTTTAGATTATCTTTTTATTATAAAGCTATAAAGCTATTTATGCCTAGATATACCTAACTAATCACTAGACACTAATAGACCAGTAAGATTACTAATAAGACTTACCTTACTATTACCAAGTATTAATTTTAGCTACCTATTAGCAGAAAATACTATTATTAGATATTTAACTATAATACTTTAATTGCTCCTGTTTAGTAAGTTAACCTTAATACTTACTAAACAGTAATAATATCCTCTAAAGCTACCTTAACTTTATCTTTTAGTAAATCTAAGAGAAAGGTAATTACACCTCTTAAACCTATAAGCTTAGACTAAGAAATAAAGGGCACTAAGTCCTCTAATAATAAGAATAATAATACTAAAATAGCTAAACAACTCAAAAAGGCCCACAAAGACATTACAAATATATAACAGATATTTAATAATAACATAACACTCCTTAACTAACTTTAAGCTAAAGTCCAGTAAACTAATAACCTCAAAAAAAAAGTTTACACTCTTTAAGCTACTACTAACATTATCTTAACCCTAGTAAATAAACAAAAAAAACTTAAGCTTAACTCCCCTACTACTTATAATAAGACCCTTAGAACGCTTAAAGGATTCTTGATATAGGTTAAGACCTACTAGACGTTTTACTTTAACAATTTTTATATAGAAACAAAGAGAATTATCTATATAAGTACCTTCTTTAAAGGATAAGTCTTCTCTTAGTTTAAACTTTACTTAGAAAACTATTTAGACAGTAAAACGCTAAAACACTATAACTTAGAGACCTAGTAAATCTTTAAGAGCTTCATAGGATTTAAGTATACCTTGAAATTCTTGTTCTAGGACCTAAATAAAAAATAATAAGCTAAATAAGACTTAATAAATCTTAAATAAACCAAGTTAGCTACTAACTATGCTATAAAGTTCTAAAGAATTTATATATAATTTAATTATACTAATAACACTAAGATCTTTATGTTTTACTAAGGACTTAAAGAAGAAGTAAAAGATAAGCTATTTAAGCTTAATTAATTAAATAACTTCCTATAATATATGAAAATTATAATTAGAATTAATATTAGACTATATAAATAATAGAAAGAAAAAGGAGAAATATACTACTCTTAGCTAAATATTAGTAAGAAGTATATGCTATAAGGACCTAAGAACTTATAGCTTAACTTATACTAGTAGAATAACTAATAGCATAATAAGCTAAGTACCTCTTATAAGTAATACAGTAAACCTATAAATATTAGTACTATAACTAGAAAGCTTTACTAGAACTACTAGGATCTAAAGGACTTTAAATACTATAACTATAAGAAATCTAACTATATAGCTAAAGACTATAAGTAGCTTAAATAACTTTAGAACTAATCTATACTTAAAGGCATTAAGAAAACTAATATAATAAAAAAAGAAATTCCTTATAAATAAAGAAACTAGACTACTTGCTTTAATAATAACTATTTAGTTTATTAAGAATAAAAAGAATAAGTAGAATAGTACTTATAATAGCCTAAACATAGAACTATGGTAATTTCTTAATAAACCTAGAAAGGAGACCACCTAGAATAAACTATAGTTTAGCTACTAAAGCAATAAAACTAATAGCTAATCACTAAGCTTATTTAAGCTAAGAAAGCTATATAAAGCAAAGAAGATAACCCTTATATACTTAACATATTAAAAGTTATTAAGGAATAACTTTAACTATATATATAAGCCTAAAGAAACTTCTAGAAACAATAAGTACTTAAGAAGAACTTTAAGAATACTCTTAAAGAGAAAAAGAGCATTAAACCTAGGAAGCCTACTAAGATAGTAGCTATAGAACAAAAGCAACCACAACAACCTAGATTTTCTCCTCCAAGACTTAGGTTCAAAGAACCTATATCCTAGGAGTTAATTAAAGTACTTAGCAAAAAAATAAGCTTTAGAGAAGAACATAAGGAATTACTTAATAAGTTTAAACCCTTAAATAAGCTTAAAAGAAAGGCTACTAAGTAACTTATAGATCTCAAAAGATTAAGCTAAACTTCTATATAATTAACACCTTATTAGGATATTAAGAAAAAAACTAGAACAATTATATTTATACTATTCTTAGAAGAAAAAGAATCCTTTAATAAATTAAACTCTAAATAAAAAGCCTTTTATAAAAAGGAAGTATAGCTTTATAAGGCTAACTAAAGCTTAACTTATTATAACCTAAACAAACCAATAACTATATAAGCAAATATTAACTTTAGTAATAACCTAATAGTTAAAAAGGCTTAGCCTACTAAAAATAACTACTTTAAGTATTAATTATAGTACAAAAAAAATAAGAACAATTAAGAAGTCTAGTTCTATAGAATAGATAATACCAGAATTAACAAAAAACTAATAGTATTTATCCTAAAGGAACCTGTATTTAAAGACTATAAGTACCTTGACCTAAAACACATACACTACACCAAAGTATTCTAGGCCAATTATATTTACAATAAATGCTAGTTCTACCTCTAGGACAAGGAACTTAACGACTTCTTTTCTTAGTAAAAAAAGCAGTAACTAACCCCTATGATCTACCTCTATCACTAACTTAGTACATGGATAATCAAGGAATTCAAAGCAAGCTAGTTACACATACAACCTAGTCCAGAATACCTAGTTCTATACTATAATAGACTAATTAAATACTGGTCTAAATGTATATATAACAAATATATAATGTATTACATAGGTAAAACAAAAGCTTAGAGAACCTAGATTAGAGAACAAATACCCCTTAAAGTAAAACCAGTAGACGCAAAAAGAAAATCAAACTACTAACACTACTTAAAAAACTAGGGACACTAACTGTACTAGGATAACAGGCAGTAATACTAAGGAAGTCCCTATGTTTAGCTATAACAATAAACGCTTTACACCTTGTTCTAAGCGTCTATATTAAAGGATAGCCTACTTAAGTCGTGATTAACAGTAGAGTATAAGTAAACCTAATGTTACTACGACTAGTAAATTAATGAGGAATCACATAGAGATTCAAGGAGGATCCTTATACCTTATAAAACATAAAAGAAGAAACAGTTAAGTATAATAAAGGTACTATTAACAAAGAAACCATATAACTCTCTATGGTTACTTATAACTATTAAGAACATCTGATTTTTAATATAGTATAAATAAGAGACATAAATGTTATCCTTGGAATCCTATGGTTATAATAACATAACCTGAGTATAGATTAGAGAACAGGCTAACTCTAATAGAAAGATTTAACTATAAGGCAACATTATAAGCTATAACCTCTAAGTAAATTAAAGTAATATAGATATATTATATATATTAAAAGAATTAAGCCTATAAAGGATAAATAATTTAAATAATTTATTAATAATTAACAAGAAGAAGAACGCTTTTCTCTAATCCTAGAATAATACTATAAGTACACTAAACTCTTTACTAAAGAATTAGAAACCAGCTTACCTAAACATAACTTATATAATTATAAAATCCTACTTAAAAAAAAAGTATACCTAAAGTTTCATAAAATCTATAGACTTAATAAAATAGAACGTAAAGTACTTAATAAATACCTTAAAGAAAACCTACACAAAGGTTATATTTAACCATTAATATCCCCTATAAAATACTTAATATTATTTATACTAAAGAAGAATAACAAACTATGACTTTATATAAATTACTAATAACTTAATAATATTACAATTAAGAACTACTATCTACTACCTCTTATCTCAGAGTTACAAGACCAGCTATACCATACTAAATAGTTTACAGCCATTAACCTCAAAGGAGCCTACAACCTAATCAGGATAAAGGAAGGCAAAGAATAGAAGACGTGTTTCTGTACCAGGAAAGGCAACTTTAAGTATCTAGTTATACCTTTCAAACTCACTAACACACCTGCTACCTTCTAAATAATAATTAACTACATCTTAAGAGAGTTTCTAGATATATTTGTTATTATTTACCTAAACAATATACTTATCTACTCTTATACCCCTAAGAAACATAAGAAGCATATTTATACTATACTTTAATAACTATAAAAAGCTAAACTACTAGTTAAACCTAAAAAGAGCATATTCTATAATCAACAAGTCAACTTCTTAAGATTTATTATTACACTAAAAGAAATCTAAATAAAAAATAGAAAAATTATAGCCATTAAGGACTAGCCTTAACCTTAGAATATTAAAGATATATAATCCTTTTTAAGATTTATTAACTTTTACTAATAATTTCTTAAAAAATATTCTAATAAAATTAACTCTCTTATTAAGCTTACTAGAAAAAATATACCCTTTAAATAGACCAAAGAATAAGAAAAAGCCTTTAAAGAAGTTAAGTAATAAGTTTATTTTAAACTAGTTTTAATAATCCTAGACCTAAGAAAACCCTTTAAACTAGAAACTAATACTTTAGACTACGCTATTAGTAGACAACTTAGCTAACGCAATAATAAAAGAAAACTACACCTTTATGTTTTCTTCTCTTAAAAACTTAGTAGAGCTAAGCTTAATTACTAAATCTATAACAAAAAACTTATAGTAATTATTAAAGCTTTCTAAGAATAAAAACCTTAGTTATCTAGAACTAAATATAAAGTCAAGGTCTATACTAACTATAAGAACCTTACTTACTTTATTACCTCTAAAGTCCTTAATAAACAATAGATCAGATAGTCTGAATTCCTATTAAAATTTAACTTTAGAATTATCTATATTAAAGGATCTAAGAACAAAAGAGCTAATACCTTAAGCTAAAGACTAGACTATAAAACCCTAGTACTAAAAAAAACCTAAGTTATCCTTAAGGAGAACAAGAACAATAACCTTATCCTAGCACAAAAACTTATTATAATTAACACCTATGTTAATACCAGCACAACTAATAAGATAACACCTAAACAGATCATAGAGATTCATAGTACTAAGGCCTATAGACACTAAGGAATTACTAAGACATTTAAATAAATTTAATAATATTATAACGTATAAGTTACTTAAATAAAAGTAGCTTTAGCAATTAAGGATTACAATATATATAAGAAAAGCAAAAATAGTCCCTATAAACTATACAGATAATTATAACTACTACTAGTACTACTAGAAGCCTAGTACTTAATCTCTTTAGACTTTATTATTAAACTCCCTAAGTTAAAAGAACTACTTACAAAAACCTATTATAATAGTATATTAGTTATTATTAACTAACTCACAAAATACATATACTTTATCCTATACTTAAAGTCAAATATAACAAAAAACCTAGTATATATATTTTTAAAATACATTATTAATAACCATAGATTACCTAAAGAAATTATATCTAATAAAAACAAACTATTCATATCCAAATTTTAGAAATCTCTGATTTTATAACTAGGAGCTAACTACAAGCTATTAACCGCTTTTTACCTATAAACCAATAAACAAACCAAACAAATTAACTAAATACTAGAACAATATCTATAATATTATATTAACTATAACTAAAACAATTAGGTCCTACTACTACTAATAGCCTAATTCGCTTATAATAATACTATAAAAGAAAATACACTAAACTCCTTATTCTACCTAAATTACAAATTTAAGCCTATAGTATATAAAGAACCTTAACAAAAACTATAAGCACTAAAGGCTATAATAGATTACAATAAATTACAAGAAATCTAAGAAAACGCTACTAAAGATCTTAAATTTATTAAAACACAAATAAAGAAATACGTTAACATATTAAGAGTTAAGGGACTAACCTTTAAAAAAGAAGATAATATATATCTTTTATAATATAACATTAAAACAAAACAACTAAGTAATAAATTAAACTATAAAAAACTTAGATCTTTTAAAATCATTTAGAAAATCTTAAACGTTAACTTTAAACTTAACTTACTAAACATAATAAAAATCCATCTAGTTTTTTATATTACACTACTTAAACTAATACTATAAGAATTAAATACTAACAACTATATTATTATAGAACTAAATAAACTAAAATATAAAGTTAAACAAATTATTAATAAATAAGAAGAAAATAAAAAAGTATAATATCTTATTAAATAAAAAGGGTATAGATATAAGAATAACTTATAAGAACTAATCAAGAACCTCTAGTACTCCTAACAGCTACTCCAGAACTATCATAACTCACAGACACTTTAGAACCAGACACCTACACCAACAACCCCAAGTCTAAGAACTTATCACTAAGCCTATACAAGGACCAGTCCACGTTATTAGGCACCTACATAAACTACAACTCCTCTACTATTCCCTATTTATAAGCATCTAATACTAACTCTAAGGCATTAAACTTATTAATTTCTTATATATTACAACAAAAAGTTTTAGCTTAACGCTTATAAACAAGTTTCTAAGTTTTTTAAATCCTAAATAAATAGCTAGCTATAGTAGCTATTAAAGATTATAATTAAGTAAGCTCTTTGTAAAGCCTTAAAAGCTTTTTACTTATTATCTTTTTTTTTTTTTTTTACTTTTTTTACTAAGTATTTAATTTTTATATTATAAATAAAAGTTAAAATAAAAAAGACTATATTTAATTAAAGGATACTTATAAGTAGAAGCTACTAAAACACTATTATAAGGCTTCTTAGCCTTAATATAGCTTTAATAATAAGAAGAACCTTTACTAAAACGATAAGTAGTTTTTATATAAAAACAATAAGTATAAGGCATATTAGTAATAATAAAATAAGCTTTAATAAACTCTAAAAGTATAAGGTACTTATAATCTTTTATCTTTATCTTCTAAGATTTTACTTTTAGTTTTAATTTTTTTATATAACTTAATATAATATTAGTATTATAAATAAATAAAAAAGTAAGTTTAATAACTCCTTAACTTAGGAGAAATAACTTATTTATAAGGTTTTAGAGGTAAGACCTTTAGAGAGGAGACTTGATGTTATAACTTAATAAGTATAATATAACTAGGGTTATCTTATAGGCGCTTAGCGGTTATAAGATAAGGTTATATATAGGATAATATAAGAACACGTTAATCCCCTTTTGGAACAAAAAAACTAAGGAAAATTATATAAAAATAAGAAAAACTAATAATAAATAAGTAGTCTATGACCTAGGACCAATATACTAAGGATTAGTCCTTATTAAGGACTAACTTTAAGAGATCAGTCTTAATAAGGCAACAATAAGATATAAGGATAATCGTTCTAACTAGACTAGATACCTTCCATAGCTCTTCAGCAATTAACTTCATGATTCACTCTCTTATAAGTGACTCTTAGATTATCCTTCTATTATGAAGCTATAAAGCTATCTACGCCTAGACGTGCTTAACTGATCACCAGACACCAATAGACCAGCAAGATTACCAACAAGACTTACCTTACTGTTACTGAGTATTGACCTCAGCTGCCTATTAGCAGAAAACACCACTGTCGGATATCTGACCGTAACAACTATGCACGATTCTAAGTTGGAGGCCCTCTTCACCAAGATAACGGTCGATAAGACGTACCACAGACTACCGGAGGTGCTCCAGGCCAAGTACTTGGAGCGGTGTGGGGACTTGAACACACGCAATTGCGTGAGCAGCGTCATAAGCTTGTCGACGCAGGGCACACCATTGTCTAAGGCCGCGTCGCCTCGACCGATTCCTCAGCGGCGGTTCCCGTCAATGTCGCAGTCAAGCCAGGGACGGGTGCCGCCAGAGCTCATCGAGGAGCTGGCCAATACGCTCCAAGAACCGTACGTGGAATACAAGCGGCAGAAGGAGGCGATCAACCAGGCGCGGCAATTGATTCTCAACAGGAATCAGCAGCAGCATCAACAGCAGCAGGCGGCCCCCGCAACCCAGTTTCGGCTTGCACGGCGAGCGGACAAGATGTTTTCTGACAACGACGGCGACGACGACGACGACGGAAACAGGCACGAACGACCGATCGAGTACGACAACGACGCGAGAAGGGAGCTGCGACGGCTGCGGAGTAAGTTCGCAACGGAGCTGATGGACTATGAGGAGGACGAGAAGCGATATCAGGTGGCGGCGCGGGAGGGAGAGGCGCACCTAGCGGAGCTGATTAAGTCGTCGGTCAGGATGATGGAGCTGCAGAACCAGATCGAGCAGCAAGAGTAGGAGCAGGAGCAGGAGCAGGCGCAGGACAAGGGCAATGAGCAGGGCGAAGACCGGGATAGAGCGTGATGACGTCGAACTGGGACGATAGCAGAATGTCTCTCTTTTCCGTTGTTCGGTTATTCTTATTTGATGGAGGATGTGGTCGGGGTGAAGGAGATGGAGACTGAGTTGAAAACAGAGGAATAGAATGCGGCCATGTCTGAAGCATTGGTTCCAAAAGGTTGGAAGAAGAGGACCGGTGGGGATGGACCGATTGATGCTTGTCAGTTTTGGTAAACGATGGATGGCGATGAGATGTTGTGATGATGTCGAGAATAGGTAGGTGTCTAGGGGCACAGGTACGTACTCAATGCATGGTTGGTCGATCGGTGGGTAGTTTTGTCTGATATCAAATCTGATCTGGCAAGAACCACGTGGGGTACTGTTGTCTGTTTCCGCACGGGTGGGGCGGGTGGCTGCGGTACCTCAGCTGTGCCAGTGGTGCAGGTCACGATCTGGGTGGGTAGACTGTCGGACGAACTGGTTGGGTGGACTTGTCGGATGGACTTGTCAGACGGACTGGTTGGGTGGAATAGGTGGGGCAAGAATCTGGGAGCTGGGAATTGGTTGGGTGGGCCCCTTTCGGTACGGTGATCAGGAACTGCCCGCACTAGCCCTTTACAGGACGTGGAAAGCAATGACCACACTCTGGGCGAAATGTGTGACTTGCGCGATTGGACATCGTCTTCTTTTGGTCCTCTAGGTAGTTGGGCCGGCCTCTGTGGGTGCTCGGCATTCCAGCAGAAAATACCACATCGAGTAATTTTCAAGACATCGTATGACGCAATGCTCATCTTTCAGGTGTTGTGTCCACTGGCAGGTACATTCGCCGGACCGTGTTCACTTCCCGGGTACCGACTATCTATCCATCGCGTTAGCTAACATACTCGTCTCCCTCCCGAGGCACCTTGGCGCCTCCGATCTTACTTGAGCAACCTCGTGTATCTGCCCCCGCCGCAGATCAGTCGTAAGTCTCACTTGACTCACTCTGAGGTCAGCAAAATACCCGTGTTCCTCCGGCTTTTCCACTTCTACATCACACGACAAGATACCTAGTCTGCTCTGATCTGTCTTTTCACCACACCTACCTAGAACGTGAGATCAAGGCTAAGATGGCGTTAAGGTGCAGTCGCGGGAGATGGCACAGGGTTTGATTCCATCCTCCAAGTGGATATTGATTCGTTTGAAGGCTTGTTCGGTGAGGAGGGCCGTATTGGAGAGAAGCGTGGCAATGGCGCTAACCACATGAGCAGCACCAGGAAAGACCAGCCGGGGTGGTTTTCGTTGCGCATGCGATTGATTGTGATTGTGAATGTTCATTGTGAGGGCTGCGCTGCTACACGCCTTGTGCACCTTTTGGGAGTGGGAGTGGGAAGAGTGGTGACGGGAATGAATCAACGTATGGTTGCCTTGTAAGCCGTTGGATGCTTGTTTTTGGTTTATTGCACTCTGGACAAAAAACATCAAGATAGGGCGTCACGTGGACGGCAATGACAAACCGAGTAGTCTTCCTTCTCTTGCCATGGAAACAAACCCCTGACGCACGGTGGCTCATGATCGGAAGCCTTACTGAGTTTATAATCTTGGCACAGACAGCGGTCCAGTAGTCAGCAGATGGGTAGAGGCTCAAGAAAACCGACCTATTGTCCTCGATCACAGAGAAGATAATTATATGGCTGTAAAAACCATCATGAACATCACCCATCCACAGTTCACCAATGCACCTCGGACCGTCGCACAAGACGAGCTTAAGGCGATCGTAATGGTTACAGACCAACGCATAGCCACAACTCGTACAGCGGGGAAACGGGTTTGATTTGACCATATGTGTAGTGTAGAACAGGTTCAAAAGATGGAACAGGTGGGTTTGGGAGTCGCGAATGCCACTCCGTCGCCATTATCTCCTTGGCAAAAACATGACGTGATATGCCCCTCGTTGTGGCTGAGTGGCTGACCCTACCTTGCCAAGTGTGGCTGACTGGCCTGTGCCTTCTAATCCTTGTGCTGCCTCCGATTACCCTGTTCCAACAGTAACTGTCTTCGTTGACTTCATTACTCAATACGATCCTAACCTCTGACACGCGCAAAGCAGGTTACGCAGGCAGTCTAGCGTCTACGAGGCAATCCCGAGACGGTTAGACCCGGCGGCTCAGGTAGTAAGGCTCAGTGGGAGGTGCAGTGGTTACGGGCCAGGTGCCAACACACAGAGATGCTCCTCCAAGTAGGTTTAGCAGTGCTCCTTTTGCTCGCGGCGAGAGCTGGTTCGCGAGGGAATTACACTACTGTCAAAGTAGGCAATGTGGCCTTGTCGGCTTCCGTGTTTGGTGCTCATAATCCAATGCTCACCTGTCCATCTCACCCATCCATCTCACCCGTGTCAGGTTCATGCTGAAGGGCGAAATATGGGTGCCGCGTCAGGCTGCGTGTGTTTGGGTTCTTCTTTTGGTCATGTTTGCTCCAGTAAGGGTCGTATCGGCTTTGGATTGTGGAATTCGTGCAGAGGGAGTCCGGCTTTTGCCAAGATGGTCGTCAGGCTGGTGGAAACGCTCGACAAGTGAAAATGGCTCTTTCGGTTACACGCTCTTTCTCTCCGTCTCTCGCTGAACCCAAGTAGGATCATGTCAGCATTAAACGGGCCCTTAGCCCTGACTTTTATTGCTGGACTTGAGCCCCTCCGCCCGTTCACTGCATACCATTCACCAAACTTTTTCCCATTGATTGCTTGTGATGAGCTTTTGCCGGTTCGGAGCGCAGGTTCTGAAGCTCTCATTGAATTTTCCTTGACGATTCTTGGCAAGTTTAGTAATCTTTAGATACACTGTCCGTCCAACCAAAATAGAAGCAACCCATCCCACGCTCTGTGGCTGCATCTCCACCCCTGCATGCCAACCTGTTGATCCAATAGTCTGCTGCTGTTGGCTCTGCGATTTGTTTGCTTCAATTTCTAATAGACATGTTTGCTTGTATGACGTGGCATTGGGGGGTGGACTGGTTGCGAAGAGAAAACTTTTTTTCATTGAATGGCTCCTTGATTCGGGATTTTTCATCACCGTCTCCTCCGTCCCTCGGTACACAGATCGCGGAGCTGTCATGATGCCTAATCAGGTAAACACCGAAGTTTTACCCACTGCCGCCGCTGATACTGATGTGGCACATGGTATTGCCGAGCTCTGCTCTGCCTGGGTCTTGGGTTCGCCGGCGTGCGTGGAAACCGACAGCGAAGAGACTCGCTCCGCGCGCCTCCAACCGGAACTACTACGTTGAACGGATATGGGCATCGATCAAATCGATTTACAAGGTATTTGATGCATCATAGTTCATTCACTTGAGGGTTCACCTGCCACTATACTGCCCTAAGCAGCCCAGCCAGTATTGACCGACTGCTAGGATGAGCATTTCGAACGTAGCAGAGTACTCGGCACTCATTCTGCATTCAGGACTGCCTGCACATGCGAGGTTTCATGCACAAACCTTGGACGTAAGTGCCTGGGTTCAGTCGTGTCCTGTCCTGTCCTGTCCTGTTCTGTCCTGCAAGGGCTTTCCTGACACGTTGGGGCTTGAAGAATATGTTCGCCAGTCAGCGCAATCACTGGCCTGCAAAGTTCCATAAAGGATGCCAGCTAGTAAGATGTCACTGTAGCCTTGATAGTTATCATGGCTCTGATGAGCATTCCACAGCACCCCAGAGTCCATTGACTTGATTTGGACGACCAACACCCATGGAACCCCGGCCCTCGATCCCGGTTCAGCTAGCGGCATCCATCTTCTGACCTCGTCTTCTGAGGTCCTGGATCTCAGGCCCTTGCACCAAGCAGCCTATGACGCCCTTGCTCCCAGTGCATTGTTTCTTCATATTGAGGTCGGCCTACCAGTGCAGCAAGGGAGCACGACATTTACAGCCGTCAACAGCAAGCTGGACACGATGAGCGAACGAAAACAGGCACAGATAGAGACCGTTACACTTGATCTCAAGGATTGGGGGTCTATTCGGACGGTGCTCTGGGCCAGCCAAGTCTCCATACTGGTCTTTGGAGTAGATCATGACGATGCAGGCCAAATGCTCAAGCCTGCTGTCTGCGGCGTGTAAGTCAGTTCCGAGGAGTATGTGTAGTACATGATGTTTGGGCTAACAACTCCAGACGAGTCTGCATGGCTCAAAATCCTCCTTGTCTCTGTGTTTGATTGACTGGAATGGGAGGGATTGGAGTCGAGTCTTCCACAGAGTGACAGATGGAGGGAGATTGTCGGATGCGTGCCGCCAGGACTCGGCGTGCAGTGCTGGCCAATAGGCTCGCTAAGTGCTTGTCCGCGGAAGATGCAAATCGCGGTCCTGCAAGTAGGAGTTAGCACGGGCGTGAGGACGGACAACTGCGCATAGACGCACGCGTACCTTGATATGCGGTGACCAAAATGTCTCGAGCTGATGGCATGGCAGCGATGCGCAGCTGCGTGGTTGCACGGCCCCGATGAACCCCTAGATGTCACGCGTTTCAAGACATGACGCCTTCCTGGGAGGAGGTATGCCTATGCTTGTGAGGTCGTCACCAGCCATACCACTATAGCTGTTCCCTGGACGTCCTGCTAGCACATACGACCATACCCACTGGAGAACTCGGGATCCCGTCCGCTCTCCCATAGATAAGCCAGTGAGGGCCGGATTAGTAGTTGGGTCGGTGACGACCAGCGAATACCTGGTGTTGTATGTTTTTTTGGTCTTTGTCCTAATTTGCTTGGGAAAATAAGTACAAGACTGTCTATCTGTCTATAACAGACCAAACCAAAACAGTAAACATTCAAAGCAGATCAGCAACCTGTTTGATTTCCTCCGCGAGATGTACGGCCTTCCAGGTTTATCATCAACCTGCGCCTCTCCACCCGCCCAGAAAAGTATGGGCGAGCTGGAGACATGGAACAAAGCAGAAGACATGCCTAAACAGGCATTGGACGAGTTTTGCTTCGAATGAAGTTTGTTGAATTCCGCCTCCTTTTGGGTTGTTGTCGAATTAAGCAATGGCCTCTGGAGTGGACGAGGTAACATGGAAGGGTCTGCCCACCCGGGCAGTTCTCGCACCGTCAGACTATTTGTTTCCCGGCGTCGTCCCACTGATGCTCCACACCCCGTGTCAACCCAAGTTTCCGTGTCCCGGACTCTGTCATGCTTGGTCAACTGGCACGATTCAACAACATTGGTGAGTGCATATGACGTGTCGCTCCTGGAACCTCCCCATCGAACTATATCACCGTCGTCCTTGGCTTTGCCTACCGCCTCGGGTCATGTTTCAATGAGGAAAATCCATCTTTGGCTCCCACGCAGCGCCATCGCCGACACCGGAATTCCGCAAATTTCCCTCCCGCCATCGCCGCCAAGGCATATATTGCTGACAGACGGGCTGCAGGTCTTCCCAAGGTTCTTCCCAGCGTGCACTGGTGGTTACCAGGCGGGCGTCATGCCGGACCCTCGACAGCAGTAAAGCCGCAAACTAGTCCCTCGGCAGCTTCTAGAGGAAAATGTCATGTCTCGCACCGGTCGACCCGCACACAACGCGCGGCTGCACTCCGCCTGCTGCCCTAAAGGCGAAATCCGATCAAGAGCCCTTCCACATATCATCCAAAAAAAGAAAAAGAACAAAAGCGCTTGGCGCCTCCTTTGGCACCGTCACACGAGCTAGCCAACGTCAAAGAGTATCACAGCAGTTCCCAAAGTAGCAAGGTGACACGCGCCTATCAAATGGAGAGAAGTGCCAGACAAAGCTTGAGTAGCTAGAAACAGAGGAACAAAGATGGCGGCGGCGGCGGCGGGAGGATCGAGTACCCGAGAGAAAACATCATCACTGGAGTCGATGAGATGGCGAGCTTGACGCCACAACGTGTTTTGCACCAGTTGACCAGCCAATAGCTCCGCCAACCAGCTGCACTGGCAGCTTTCCACCATGTTGGGCGATGTCTGAGCTGCTTGTGTACACGCAGGACAAGGCGGCGCGATTGCATCGTGACTTGATCGTCTTGAGCAACTCCTCTTACGAGATCCGGAGCACCGTCCACCAGGTCTCCAAGAAACGCATCTACGCTCTCGTCAACACGGCACCCGATCCGACGACACACCTTGCGGCCACCTACAATGCCAAACAGGGCCGCCTTTACCAAGAGGCTACTCGATGCCATGTTTAAGACGGTGCGATGTCTTGAGGAAAGGATAATTATTGTATACTGTTGTGAGACGACGGTTACATAAGCGTCAAAGACGTTAACGGGGGGTTGAAGCGTTGGGAAGGCAGTTGGTATAATCTAGCCGTGGAAACCTGTGCATGGCGTTGGCTGTTGGCGTCAGATAAGCACCTCAGAGCTGAGATTACAGTATGTTGTTATGCACCGGCATGGTCGCCCTGAGAAAGCCTGGTGAAAGCATGAGGGACATCAAGCTCACTTTGCAGGTGTAACGTTGTTGGAGAAAGAGACTCGAATTGCCCAGACTTGGGACAACAATTACTTCCGTCTACGTGATAGACGCTACAATGGTGTATCTCTGCTCAAACCCCAACGCCGGCTTAAAATCAAGTTTACCATGAACCTCCCCCAGCCCGACCTCACTCCCGAGGCATCATCACAGCCCCAGATCTCTCCATCTTTTCCAACCAGGTTCGTCCCTGTCTAACCGATTCCAGAACCCGAAGGAGCCGGTTCTGAGACATCCACCGCGACTCTTGCAGCCGGATCAGTCACGCCATCTTCTTATTGAGACTGGCTAGGCTGTCGGGGTCCTGGAACGGAAGCCGGTCAATCTCCCCGATGATACTGCGATAGGAGGCGACGACTTCTGAGACCTCGCCTGAGAAAAGGTCAGAGCGACGCTGCAGCCCGCTCATGCGGCCACTTCCTAGCTGCTAGTTGTGACCCCCGGCGTTGTGCATGCCTGACAAGACCTCTTCCGCGTCTCGCAGTGCGATGAGACACGCCCTGCACTTGGCGACTATGTAACCCGGCCTGTTGGGTGACGGAGACTCTGAATGCCTCCAAGCGGGTTGTCTAGGCCTTTTACCATTGGCTACATTCCACGAGCGACATTGGGTGGTTCAGAACGTCGAGAGGCGCATCGAGGGGCTGCGCGTTGGGCCTGATCTCGGCCAGGGGGGCAAAGGCCGTTTCGTCAACGATTTCGCCGTACTCGGTCGGGTCTATGAGAGCGGCGATGATGCGGCGCCACAGGCTATAGTCTGTTGGGACGTCGAATCTGTCCTGGCCGGCGACGAGGTGGCAGACGTCGACAATGACGGCAACGCCGCAGTCGACGCCATTGTCCTGCCTATGACAGTCCAGGGTCTCCACCACCACTCGATCCGCGTCGTCATTATCGTCGGCGGCTTCGGGTTGTTTCAGAACTCTGCAGCAAGCGATGCAAGTGACGGGCCTTGGCCGCCAGTTCTAGACGACGTGGGCCCAATTATGCATATCTTGGAACGAACCAAGACCGTTTAGTTATTATGAATTACCAACACCGGCACAATAACCTTGACACCTGTGTTTGTACGCATCATCGGGTAGCTCCTGATCCTGTCTGTGAGACTTCCCGCGGTCTTCCATGCGAAAAGACTGGGTGCAGCGACTTGTACCTCATCAAACGCGATCGGCTTGAAGAGAGTCGCCAACTAAAAGAGAAAGGTCAGAAACATGATGCACAAGCCCCATGGAGTTTTGTAGGACGTGTAGGATCGAGTGATATGGTAGTGAAATCTAGCCAAGACCGTGACAGACTTATCCAGCAACACAAGATTCTAGGTTTTGAAACAGAGGGCGTAGGCCTGTGGGATGAAGTACCGTCTATTGTTACTAAGGGCGTTTATGACTACGCAGATAGTTATAAGAACAATAGGTGGCACAGGTTCTCTGTAGTAACCGCAGCAGCCACAACAAAGGCGCTGCTAGAACAATACACCAGGTCAGAAAAGCCTGGCGCTCGTGGTAGTCGTGGCGAAGGACAGACGAGCTCAAGTGATACTGAAAGCGCCTTGCCTTTTGGGGATGTTGTTAAAGTAACACCTTGTTAGTAAGGGCGATTTTCAAGAATATTTGTGGCTTTGTTAAAAGGGTATATGCATTTCATCGTTCTTTTTCTAAAAAAAACATGACAGTTTATTAGGCGAGAAAGTCCTATAAAAACGCTCACGGAAAAGCTGTTCACGTAAGGAAGATGCTGACGAATCGCGCTGACCAGAAAGAGTAGCGTAGGTAGAACACAAATAGTACTTCAGTTAGTGTACTTGGAAAGAGAGAACTGTCCAGATTACTCTGTCTTCTAGTTCGTAGCGCTTAGTGATTTGATCTTTAAGTGGGCATGCTTTGATATTATAGTAAAATTAGGCATCCAAGGCTTCTAGAACAAGAATCCAGGACAGGTCATGTGAGACTAATTTAGCTCAAAGAAAGCAGGTTCTTGTCTTATTGTAATCGACAATATTGATGACGCGGGTATCCTTCATGGGACTTTAGCCAGCCCCTGTGGCATCTACGGCTTTCTTCCGTATAATAACTACCGCTCCATTTTACTCACTACCTGCTTACTTGACATTGTTGTTGAGGTCGTAACTGATGGAGTGCTAGAATTGAGTCAGTTTAGTAGAGAGGAAGCACGTATTTTCTGTAACTTAACGCTGACGAAACTCTAGACGCTGCAATATTATGCCTTGATTCAGGAGCTAATCGATAATTTCACCTGTATACCTTTGGTGCTTGCCCTAGCGGTAGCATTTCTTAATGTTAATGCGATTTTGATTGCGGAATATGTTGGCGTTCTCTAAGCCTTTGGTGGCCAGATGAAAGAAGCATCGGATGTTACGCACACAGACTTAGGGAAAGATTTGATGTAGATATCTCTCTTATCTTTTTCTATGATTCTCTTAACCAGCGAGGAAGTAGTGAAATTGCTTTATTTTATGGCATGGATCGAGCCATACTCGATATCTCGGCCAATGTTACTTTACGTAGAGTCGGAGGAGAGGATAACAAAAGCAGTTGATCTACTTTGCAGTTACAGGTTTCTAAGTAGGCGAGGCGGTAGCAACATTTTTGATGTAAACCCTTTGCTGCAGATGATGATGAGGTTGTTTATGAGGAAAGGGGGCAATCTGGAAGAGACATTATAAGAAGCAACTAATACCTCGTCAATGTTTTCAAGGAAGGTGAACAGCTAAGTCTTTATCTGCGGAGGCAATGTCTTCCTCATGCCCTCAAAGTCCTAGCTCAACCAAGGACTGAAACAGGGGATGAGATAGGCGAATTAGCCGGTCAAGTAGCTTCTTTCCTGGTACTAAGAGATCGTGCCGGATAGGATATTCGACTTTTTGAATATGTGATTAATTGCAAGAGGTGTCAACAGACACCTATCCAAACGAAGGGGATTCAGAAGAGGATGATTATCTCCACTATAAGAAAGAGGTGTGGGAACGGGACAAGAGAAGTTTGGACGAACAAAAGTGGGTGCTTCAACTGCTAAAGGCTCGTTTCAATTATAATTAAAGAAGCTACATAGATTTCCCATAAGCTAACCTAACCGTCATTGGGGTTAGTATTCTGGCCGATTTTGCCCGCAAAAAGCGACGACTCTCCGGTGCTTTTTTTGCCAACTGGTTTTCCGGCCGATTACCGTGGAGGTTTACACCTGTTCCCCCCCTAAGGGGTTGCTCACTGAGTGTCACTGAAATCAGCTTCTTATTTCATTTGTTGTTGCTGGTGAGGGCCACTTGGTTGTTTTGCGAAAGGGGCGGTATCGAGACGCGTGGCGCCAAGCCAAGTGCTCCCAACCCCAATAGTACTCAAGCGGTCAGTTGTTTCAGCTGCCTCCTGAGGACGGGCGCAAATCCAACCGTCATTCCAGAACTATTCTCGACTTGCTCGAGTCATGTCAAGTAGGCTAGTGGGGCCTCCAGGGTTGTCAACCAACTTGGATAGTGACACGAGAGCACTTATCGGTGTTAGTGCAAGGATCGTCTCAGTTGTCGCGTTGCCCAAGATGTAAATCTTAATTTCGCGTTATGTTAATCGGATCGTCCGTACAGCATAACCTTGGATGGTACTATCATTGATCGTACTGGAGTATCGATTTTCTCATTGCATCTAATTATGCCGTTGACGATTATTATTACTGTGGTATGTTTGACAAAGTAGCTGAAAAACTTAACATCGGCTAACTCCGTGGCCACCATCTATAAAAATTGGGATTTCGCTTAGGTTGGCGAAGGTATGCGGTCATTCAGGGACATCTGCCTCTAATTACCACTCAGTTCACCATACTAGGACAATTCTTTACAATTACCCCGCCTTCGCTATGAAGCTTAATCTTACTATAACGTTTCTCCTGTCTACCACAATGTTGGCGTTTGCCCATCCATCATCATCTTTCCGTTGCAAGCGTGAGGATAATGCCATCGATAAGAGATGCACCTTTCTTGATCATTGCAATTGCAAAATGTACGTCCCCCCCACGGCTGATACTCGACTGCTACTCAAGTGGCCCAATATCTTTCACTTAATTAACATGCTTCTCAGGTGGGTTCCCGGACAGAATGCCAACTCACCGCGCCAGTATCTTGAAGGCGATTTCGCGTATGGCACAGGCATGACTAGAGGCCAGATGACGGTGAAGGGAGGAGCAGGGCAGGGCAGCGTCTGCGATGTCGCTTGGGACAGAGGGAACAACGGAAGGTGTGGCTACTGGAAGCAGATTTCAGGCCCGACCGGAAATGGATGCCAGCAATACCAGAACACTTGGTTCAGCTGCGATGAGGTTTATAGTGGTTAAACGATGCTGCGTATTGCTTGCATTACTACTTAGGGGAAAGAAAGCAGTAACTAGTGCAAGTCAGTAGTAACACGTGAAGCGAGTACACACACATTTTACTATGCCCGGTGGCAAAGCCGAAAGATAGCTAAAATGATTATTCGTTCTTTGCTGAGCTTGTGCCCTTGTCTACTAACCGCCATTAGGGGCAGTAATCTAGCTGATTACCAGGGTTAGGGTCTAGGGTTGCCTGCAAAAGGCGAGGGCTAGTCTGTGCGTTACCGCTAACAAGTTTTTTGCGGGGTAAGGCGAAAGCCGGTCTTTATACATTTTCTAGCATCTGCGATGGGTCTGCAGCTCTCACACGTGTTACAAGTAGCACGTAGACAGCATAACGCTAACAGCACTGTCTAACACGGGACGCTACGTGAGTCGGGCCTTAGGTTGCCTTTGATAGGCACGGGTCCAGATCAATGCCCAATAATCAAATACCCTGCTCCCATAGCATGTCCATGGTTCTGTCTCTTACCTCTTTTCACCACTTTCCTCGTACGTCTCTCTACAATGGAGACACAGCAGAACCCGCCTTATGGTACCGTGATGGCCAGCGACTTGACGTCACCGTCGTGGACCACGGCTCTCACCACTGACCATGTCAGGCCCGAATCAGTTCCATCTACAGTGGCAACAGAACCTCTCTCTTCCAACCTAAGACATTCTGATGCAATCTCTCCACCATTGGGCCAACCCGCACATACGGAGATGACCTCTGACACTCGCAACACTACCAAAAGACCTTTACGGGCTGCCGACACCCCTAATGCAACCCCTCGGGAGTTCCTTTGGCTCTGCGCGTTGGACTTTTCTGAGTCACCCTCTCCTACGGGAATCGGCTTATCCAGCCCCGAATACACTCTCTGCAACCAGCACTATCCGTCATGTAGTAAGCGTTTATCATGGCGGGGAGCATTCCGTGCCCGTATGCGTTGACTGTCGCACATGACGCGAATGATATGCCTGCTGCTAGGCGTTAGATGAAGTGTGCCGTTGCTGCCGCGTTCGGGGGGGAACTCCCGATCCGATTTGGGATAGTAGATGATCTGGAGTGGGAGGAGGGAGACAAGATAATGCATAAAGCTTGTGTCTGCTATGAAAGGGACTCAGTCGTGGACGAGGGTGAGCGGAGTGACTGAGAAGTCGGACCCTTCCACTATGCTGGAAGATTTGCCTTTGTTTTCGTCTTGCGCCAGCGGCGCCTCGGCATCAGGCATGCTCTCGCGCCACTTGTTGAGCTCGCCGATGAGATTCTCGGCCTGCTGTCGCCAAAGCGTGTATTGCTGGGGATTACCCGCCACTTCTCTTCCAGCTAAATCACGCGCGGCAGAATGCAGAGAAGACGGTCGGAATGCTACGGTGAGTTGACCAGCGACTCGGAAACATATGTAGACGCGATCCTGGAAGTATACAAGTACGTAATTTCGTAAATCTTTAGCAGGGAGACGATTCCGGTAAACGAACGGGTTAGGGATTTATCCGCAGCCGAGGCATAGACGCTATTTAAATTTTGTGAAAGGAAAGCCAGGGCGGCGCGGCAGTGTATGTACCATAGTTTCAGCTGTCCTTTCTGCAGCTCAAAGCAGGCCAGGAAGATGATAGTGGCAAGCCAAAAAATCTTCATGTACCGGCTCTGGGGCAAGACAAAGGCTTTCGCCTGAGCGGGCTGGATATCACTGTCGTCCAGTTGGGGGCTGCGGATGGAGCCTAAGGTCGTAACGACATGATCGAGGGCGTGGAGAGAAGCCTTGGCAACCACTGGTTCTGGCGCGTTGGAAATCCAGACGCTAAGGGCCGAGAGGGCCTGTGAAGCAGGAAAGAAGGCGCCGTCGAGGTATTCGGCCTGAAATACGTCGTTCAGGAATAGGGTGGAGAGTAGCCCGTTAGCCGAGCTGTCACGGAGGTGGTGGTAGTATAAGAGGTCTTCGGCAAAATTGACACTTTCTAAAAGGCCGGAGGGGGCGATGGGAGCCGGTACGGGACTTTGGTGGTCTGGACGGGGCCAGAAGGGCTCATACCCCAGCCTTGTTTCGCATTCTCTTCCACCATGTGAGAGGGCATGCTGACATGATTCAAGGGGCCCACGCGCGGCATGTAATTGATCTCGCGGGCTCCGACGGACTGGCTCGGCGGCTGGGCTGAGGCCTTGTAGGTTATTTGGGGCCAGCGATAATGCAGCCAAGTCCTTTGTTACGACCCAACAAGAAGCATAACATAACCAGGGCTGACCCACTAACGCCCAGCGGTTACAAGACAGGATATATGCAGGACACGCGGGGAACACGTCAGACCACCCGGAACAGAAAAACTATAGAACAAGTCACGTATAGATAAGATAAGATAATGAGCACTACCTCTCAAACTGTAAGCGCTTATCTTTGGCAATGAGCGCTTATGATTAATAGTAAGCGCTTACTACTAATAAGGACTAATTATAGGCATATTAAAAGAATAGGCGGACTTATATATAAGATAGCCTAAATAGGCTCTAAGATAGACTCCTACAGCTTTTTAGTAATTAACTTTATGATTTACTTTATTATAACTAAGTGACTTTTAGATTGTCTTTTTATTATAAAAACTATAAGCTACTTACGCCTAGAGACGCTTGACTGATTACTAGACGCCAATAGACCAGCGAGATTACTAATAAGACTTACCTTACTGTTATTAAATATTGACCTTAGCTACCTATTAGCAGAAAACACTACTGTTGGATATCTGATTGTAACATCCTTCTCTAGCGACTGTATGTGATTACCGTCTAGATTGTTGGTTGCTAATGCCGCTGTCTTAGGAGTAATTTGGCGTTGCGAAGACTGGCTGTGGTCGTCATGAGCGCCGGACTTGTCAAAGCTGGCCGATGGTGAGTCCAGACCACTGAGGCCAGGCACGCTGCGGCCAGTTTCTCAGCGGGCGGCGTGAACGAGAATGACAGGAGTCGAACAGTCTAAAGCCACGTAATCAGGACGGTGGATTGATTGTTACCTACCCCGCGACCCTGAGTACTGATGGGCACAAGTCGCGTATGCTGTCAAATGTCACGGGATCGTGTTTATGAAGCAAGAAATGCGGTAGCCTAACCCAGATTAAAGTGCTGCCCAGGGGGATGTCGGCTGCACATCTAACAGGATATCCTTATTATGCGCATAGTGTCTATGTGCATTCAGGATACCCTTTTTCTATCTTTGGCTCGGAGCTAAATGTATATTATGCCATCAGTTTCGTACTTTTGGCTGGCAAATGCGTTTCAGGTATCCAATCAACAATCCTCAAGACTATTCTACTTTCATCTGAGTAGAGCTGTGGCATTACTTACTTCAATATATATCATTTACTTAGGAATGGCCCTGATATATCAGCCTTAATGTACCTCTTGTAAGTGCATGCATTCAGCGAGAGTGCCCGGTATAGGAGTTAGAGAATCTGTGAAACTGTGGCTAATGTGGATGTTTAGTGTGTTAGATTGATGCCTGTGCCGGATAAAAGGCAGTCAACACTGGCTTATCTACGTTATTGTAATCTGTAAAAACCGGTGAGACTAGGTAGACACAAGACAGAACCCCGCCACTTGAGGAACTTAGCTGTATCAGGTCTTCTTACTCTAACTTTTCGTTTTTCACAAAACTAGAGATATAGAGCACTTACGGCCAGATTTTAGCCTAGGGTAAGATTTATAACTATTAGGCTTTTACTTAGAGTTAAGTAATTGAAGAAAAATAAACTTAATTATAGTTAAGGCCTACTTTTAGTATTATGACGTTCAACATGCTTACATTAGGAAAGGTAGCCTCGGTTAGAATAGAATTTATAGTTATGCTAAATCTTAGCTATCAGCTTGATGTTTTCAAAGTATTTAAGAAAAAGGTTGTTGATTAAAATATTATAACTAGTAACTATAGTTATAAAATTATGTATTTTAAATAAACGGAAACCTTTTATAGCTTTTGTTAAGTAACTTTATAATAAATTTTTAAAAGTAACTTAGGTTTTACTTTTTATTACAAAGCTATAAGCTAATTATACCTTGGAATACTCAACTAATTACAAAATATAAATAAGCCTGTAGAATTACTAATAAGATCTACTTTACGAATATTAAGTAGCAACCTTAGCTACCTGTTAGTAGAAAACAGCACTGTTAGATATCTTACTATAACACTACTAAAGCACTTGTGAACAAAAATGCTGATGTAAACCTTACAAATTAGGAAAATAGTACAAAGATGTTACTATCTAGTTTAATATCTAACTTTCTTAGGAATATACTTCTTCTACTATTATCCTTTCTATGTCATTACTTCGTAGAGCGCAAAACGCAACGCCTGGCTCATATTATTTAATTTATTCTACACGGTTATCAGCCACTCTTATGTCAGTAGCTATGCCTAGATAGCAAGGTTTAGCCAACGGCTGACGCGCTCCGGTTGTCAATCCGTAGCGCCCCACTTCCCCAATGCAAAACATTGAAAAAAGGTCATATCCATTTACCAAAGTAAACTTCTAAACTACATCATAGTTTCCAGTCTGTTTCACGGCACTTGAATTAGTTGCCGATGAGTTACCACTCAATGGCCTAACCGCGTCCCCGCCGGGCAGAATAAACCCAGGAGAGAAAGTTTGAACCGCTACCTAGAGGGGAAAAGGCTATCGTTTACGAGACCAGGGCACCACCTCGTGATTATATTCCAATAGCACTAAACGGCTGCTATAGCTTACAGGTTGGCTACTACCCATCCTTCGCCGTGAGGGGTTGCCACGCCCGCACACTACCTATAGAACACAGCCCAAGTGGCCTAGTCTTTTCCGCATTTAGAGTAAATGTGAATCAGGAATACATATGCCGAAACTCACAGCAGGCGCATAAGGTTCCTACTATGCCGGAATAAAATCAATTTCAGTTGAAGTAATAGCTATTATACTTTCGCGGGTCATAGGAGGACGCATGAAAGGTTCGCGTCATTTCCCTGAATAGTGCAAACGGTTTCTGCCACCTAACACCTCTTACAAATATAACAATACCTAGACCCCCAGGACCCCTTCAAATCCAGAAAAATCTATTAAATTCTAGAGCGTTTTCAATTCTGACGACTTGCTTTGCTGCGCTTTGCATGCGCTGGCTTGGCAAATACTTACTAAAGCTACTACGTGATTCATCGCCTACCGTCGCCTGACTGTATCCGTTTATGATTTTTCGTTGTGTAAAGGAGTGACGGTTCCAGAGCTTTGTTATTGCTTTATGGCTTGAGAGTTACCAGTGTGGCACGAGTACCGCAGGTATGGCTGTTAGCCCGTTGGATGACATACTGGGGCGTAACCCTAGCTACGAGAGGGAAATATGGGCATGGCTTATCATCGGAATTGCCGTGGTCTTTTTGCGGTTTACTGTGAGAATCAGAATGGATGGGTTTGCGGGTTTCAAGGGTGATGACTACGCTATGATTGCAGTAAGAAGAAACTGTTTCAAAAACGGCAACATGTTCCAACTTAACTTCTTATGCAGACATTTCTCATGTACTCGGGCTCCTTTGTGGTACTACATACAATTTGTAAGTATAAGAGCCTCAGTCTTACTGGAGGTGTGCGGATCCAGTCTACTTGAAAGGCATGTTAAAGGATGAAGGCCCTGGCCATCTGGCTGACTATTCGCAGATCATTACGGCACCAACGTGGACCTCACAGTGGATCAGATCAGAGAGTTACCCGATGAAGAGGTCGCACGTGTGGTTCATGGCTCACAATTTCAGCTAGCAGCGTGGTACTTGTATGCATCAATGCTGTGGTCTTTGAAAGGCGGCGTGCTGCTTTTTTAGTAGGTTTGTATAAAATTTTGTACATTTTGATCATACTAATGTTGGTTGCAGTAAGCGTTTAAAACTTGATCTATGGCGTAATTCTCGGTACCTCACATATCTTACATTGTTCACGGTTCTATCATACTTGACAGTGGTGGGCACAATAAGTTTCGGCTGCCTTCCGTGAGTGCTTGACGCAGCGAAGCTTACAAGCAGATTGACCGGGGGTTGCTAACTCATGATTCAGGTACCACCACAACTGGGGCGTGCGGCCTCTTCCAAGCGAGAGATGCGTTAACAAAACCCAGAACTTACTGGCTACAACCTTCCTCAGTAAGCCAGGTGCAGTCCAGTCACAAGCACATAACTAATGGGTTCTTAGATATTCTTACTGACGTGGCAATTCTGAGCCTTCCCATGCTGCCGTTAGGAAAGATACGAGTGCCTGTGTACAAAAGGATACTCATTATACTTCTCGTCTGCTCAGGTATTTACTTCATAACGGCTGCAATAATGCGAGTAGTTGTTACTCTGCGCTCAGAGCGCTCGACGCTTGTAGTAAACCTTTGGGGCACCCGAGAACTGGGCGTTGGTCTCATAGCCACAAATGCTCCATCACTACGTCCCCTATTTTCCCGCAGGTTCTGGCATTGGCATCATCAGCCACAACCTAGAAGCCTAGGAATAATAAACAGTATGCGAGGAAGCGGGATTACGGCTGGTAGAAGACAGAGGGCTGTTCAACACGCCTCTATTCTCGGTTGGATAAACTCCACACCTTCGACATTAGGGACTATCACAGAAAGTCAACGCCAACAGGGTCCAACAGACGAAGAGCGAGGATCAGCTGCCAGACACTAGTGGATACAGCTCTTTATCTTCATTCATGAACCACGTGGCAAAAAGAAGCAACGGTGTTTGTTTCTTAAGGAAATCCCGGCAGCAAACATCGAAGATAATAACAGTTTAGTGCCTAAGTAATTTGCTTACTTTCTCTGACTTTCTGTTATAGTACTAAACTGAGAATAATAGAGGTAACGGGGTTAAGGTCAATAAGAGAAGCCTAAGGAACGCATCAAGGTTTTACATCCTAATAAAGTAGAGCAGTAAAGATTATAAATAATGTATCCTCAAGGAACGCGTTAAGATTTCCTAAGTAAGCGAAGTTAGATAAAGTAAGGCAAGAAAAGCTCATACCGAATAGTTATACATAGATAGGCAGATCTTAACGCGTTCTATCACTAAGTACTAGAATAGTGTTGGGATAACAGCACCGGCTGGTTGTACGACACGCAAGACTCAAGGACACACACCATGGCAGAGGGCACTGACTGGATATTCGGCCCTCGGTTATCCATTGAGGGAATCAAAGTATATTCATGCCGAACTGACTCAGCGACGTACGAGATCATATATCTCGTGTACGAAAGCCAAGTCATGTAGTTAGGAAGATAATCACGGAAAATACATCTTTGGTTCACCTCTAATTTTAACCCGAGTACGATCGTACACTCGGGTTCTCTCAGAAAGAGAGAATGCATTCAACAAGTAGAGTAAATAAAAACATATTTAAGTAAAGTGACTTTAACCTTAGTCTTTTATAGTACAAGATTTGTAATAAAAACAGCTATAATACTTCTAGGCTAAGCTAAGTAGTAAATTACAAAGAATACAAATTTCCTTTATAGGAGTACTATGATTTCTAGCTTTTTGTCAGTTTGACCCAGAAAGATTCAATAGTTCAGAGAGAGCGCCTTAAAGATTTGGGATATCCGGATCACCGTAAGTGAGGTACGGCATATGATATCCACTTGACGTGCTTCAGGGTAGCGAACAAGATGACAAGGATGCTTCAGGCAGCTCTAAAGATATTCCCTTAACCACCCAGCCCATCTTCTACTTCCTACTTTCAACCAGACAAGATGTAACAACCTAACCAGCAAGCAACATTACCACCTTAATAGTACTCGTCGCCCACATTAATACTCGAGTATGCAGCTTTGCCCTGTGAATCCAACAGTTAGAAACATGTCGGACGCCACTACTTATCACGCTAAATTTCCTTCTCCGAAGAGCTGTTAGTAAACACGATTGATTTACTTTGCTGTTGAAAAACTCTCCGTGATCTTTGGTGGATCTGTGACCTCTCCTATTGAACGACAAAATTATAAGGAGAAGTGACAATTTGGGCCGCTTCATCTTGTGAAGGATGAGGGTGTCGTGCCAAGACACGCCGCTCAGGCTCGGCATCCGAAAGTTGGGAAGTGTGACCCTAGACAAGATTAACAGGCCCTTATGACAATAACCTTAAGATTATCAATAAACCCCAAAGATTCATCTCCTGCGACCAAATGCTAAAGTTTAACTTGAAGGGCTCCAGCATCCTCGCCTAGGTCTTCAACGTGGTCGTTGGCTGGTATCAAAACAATAAAGACGGTAGCTAATGCAGCAGGCAACTTTATTTCTGCGATCAAGGGACGAAGAAACCGGTTGCATGTTCCTACTGAACAAGACCTCACTGTTAGAAATCCTTTGGTGAGACTTTTGTATGTGCCATCCGGTTAGTTCTTCCACAAGCCGCCAAGAAGCTTGTCCTCATGGGCAGCATCCGCTCTTCCTTCTTCCACAGGCCGCCAAAAATCTTTTCTTCATAGGCGGCGTTGGTTTCAGCCTTACGGGTCAACCGATTGAATTTGTTCTCCGAAGAGGATGTTGGAGTCGGAAGTGCGAGAACTGCATCGGCGAGCGCGAGTGCCATCCAAGGGATGGTGATGAATTTCATTGTGAAAGACTGAGGCTTGTGTCAATAGGCTTGTTGTGACGAAAGATGTATCGCATGTGCAGGTAATTAACTGGAAAGAAAATGCTGAGATTCAATGTGGATGACACCAGGCTCTTCATGAATCCAAAAGATATAGCTGTATTTATGTCCATGCTGAATGATCTCGTTGTTCTCCTCAGGCTCGTGAGCTACTTTTTTCTAGCGGTTGTAGTTCGTTGTCTATTGTGCAATAGTACCTGATGAATGATTACTGAATTGTAAGCATGATTTCCTACTGGGATCCCACGACTTGAAGACTGATAGCTGGATTCGGAAAGCGTAATCAACGATAACTAGAAAGTTTCTTAGATTAAGATGAGTAAATACAGTGCTGCAAAAGTTGTAAGTCTCGAGGGCTTTAAGGTGAGGCACTGTGCAATGGCTCCAGACTTTTGACACCCCACTGGAACCTTAAAAAAGCTCTTTTATATTTAGTTGTATTACGAACCGCCGTGTATTGGCAAAGCGGAGATGTCGATAAAGCCAATTGCGTCTTCTTGTGCCGTTATTCCGACCACCTAATCTTGATTAGTTTATCAATCTATACAAGCATGACACTGATCCGACGTCCGATACCATGAGTAATCACCTATACCAAAAACCGCCGGAGTGACAGAACATCACTGGTCCCCTTTGGCCGCCTCTATAGGGTTCGAGCCCTCTAGAATCTACTGGTGGACTCTTGTATTGGTACCTTATCGTCATACCCCACGCTGCGTTACGGGGTACAAGAAAGCTAAAGTGGCTACGGAACGTCTAGTGCAAAGATCCTTTGTATACAAAGTAGCGTCATAGTCACCGATTCTTTCGTAAGTCCTCTCAGAAAGAGTCCCAAGTTTACAAGATGCACGCAAGGCCTGATTCGCCGCTCATGGCAAATGTATCACGATGTAACGGTCAGATATCCGACAGTGGTGTTTTCTGCTAATAGATAGCTGAGGTCGATACTCAATAACAGTAAGGTAAATCTTGTTGGTAATCTTGATGATCTGTTAGCGTCTAGTGATCAGTCAGGCGTCTCTAGGCGTAGATAGCTTATAGCTTTATAACAGAAGGATAGTCTGAGAGTCACTTATGGTGGAGTGAATCACGAAGTTGATTGCGGAAGAGCTATGGAAGGTTTCTATTTGATTAAAGTGGTTGTCCTTATATCCTATTGTTGTGCTGTTGGGATTATTTTATCCATTTATGATCCTTGGTATAGGATCAGCGTTGTTAGTTAGTGATCCTTGCTGAGCGATCATGTTGGATCACCTGTGATCCATAATGATCCATCACGTGACCTTCCCTAGTTCTTCCGTTCCGAGCCCGGTTCGTGCCGTTGGCCTGCATACTTGAATGTCTGACTGCCCTGGAACACCATCAAAAGCGAGAACGAAATTTTTGAAATCTGAGCAAAAACAGCGCCACAACACACTCTGTAAGGTCAATTGGATAGCCGGGTGCCCGTCGTAAAGCCCAAAGCGACGTAGGCACCATGGCAACCCCATGGCCGTCAGAGCAACTATGGCCAACGCACCACCGAGAGCATGCCACCGAACTTAGCAGACACCTCCAGACAGCAGTCAAGTCTATCGACACCGCAAACGGAAACCCCCTCAACCCACAGGCTGTGAGGTCCACGCTTATCGCGGCCCTCTCCCTGATCATTAAATTGCAGAACCTACCTGAGGTCGGACACCTCCACCAGGCTATCGAGAGCCTGCGAGCGGAAACCAAAACAGCCAACGAGAATACCACCCGCGAAACGAGAACCATCAAGATCGCTCTACAGCAGAACACAGCCGAACTTAAGGAGAACACCAACATAACACGCGCGGCTAACGAAGCCGCGAAGGAGGCTTGGAAAGCCAGCGAGCTGGCGGCTAAGGTCGTAAAGGACATCAAAGCACTGGGACCAATGAATCAGGGGAGCACCGCACAGTCATATGCTAGTGTAGCCGCCCGAGGAGGACTTACAGGAAGCATGCATAACCCCCGTAACCAGAGATCGTCCCAGACCCAGACTCTGCGTGAGATCATTGTGAACATTAGAGATCCCATCACCATTGCCTGCATAAGAGCCATGAACTCCCGTAGCCTTAAGGCGCACGTAGACCGCGCCATCGAAGAAAGCAGTAATGAGCATATCCGCAAACTCAAGGCAGTATCTGCTAATCAGCTCAAGAGCGGCGACCTCAGCATCAAGACAGCCACGACAAAAGACATGGAGGCCCTCCGCCAGTTTGCCGAGGACTGGGAAAACCGCATCGGCAACGGAGCCGCGGTACGGATCCCAACCTATGGAGTGCTAGCGCATGGCATAAGGACCAGCTCAATGGATATGGATCGTTTCAACGAGATTAGAGATGACATGCTGCAGGATAACAAAGCGTTCATTCCTACCGCAGAGATCAAATACATCGGCTGGCTGACCCGATCAGCCAGCAAGAAGACTGCATCAACAATCGTGGTGGAATTCTCAAAAGCGGAAGACGCCAATAAACTCATTGATGAGGGTCTCATCTGGCAAGGCCAGGTATTCCAATGCGAAAGATATGACAGAAAGTGCCGTCTGAGGCAATGCTTCAAGTGCCACACATACGGCCACATAGGAACCCAGTGCAAGGCAACGACAACATGCGGCTACTGCGCGCAAGAACACATGACCCGAGACTGCCCCTCGAAAAGCGACATGGAAACGCCTAGGAAATGCGCTGCATGCCACGGCGAACACGAGGCCTGGAACGGCAGATGCCCTACCAGGATACGCGAAAAGGCCAAGATCAGGACCGCCTACAACCAGCGGTCAAGGTATCACCTGGAACAAGCGGCCCCACAGCCGGCCCTAGGACCGGAAGCCCGGACCCGGCCGAACCCAAGGACGACACGACCAACACTGGACCGTCAATCTCAGGAAGACCGACCAACCCGGAGCCGGTCCCTGACGAAGAAGGTCCAGAAAAGGCCTAACCCGACGGATACCCAGGAATCAGAGGAGACGATTACGGTGGCTGCGGAGAATACGCGCCCGAAGCGCACTATCGTACGGTCGCGAAGAGCGCTTGAGGCGCTCGACCCAAACACACAGATGGCAAACGACAGCACAGCGATGGAGATCGTAGTCGACGATAGCGAATGAACGGACAACACACACTTACAATACTACAGTACAACGTAAGAAAATCAAAGGATACAGTCATGGCAACACTCCTTCGCGACCCGAATATCGACAATTACGATATTATTGCCATCCAGGAACCGTGGAGGAACCCATTCAACGCAACGACACACCACCCAGCTAAAGACCGCTTTCACCTATGCTACCCATCCAACGAGGAAAGAGGGCCGGCTAGGGTGTGCTTCTTTATTAACAAAAAGCTCGACCACTCTCGATGGCAGTTCAAGGAAAGTAGCAGAGATCTCTGCACCGTCAGCATTGGTACAGGCGAGGGCAATGAACCGCCAACGGTCATACACAACATATACAACCCCTCACTCCAGGAGGACAATCGACCACAAGTTCTGCAACAACTGCGGAAATCGCTAGAAACACACCAACACGGCGAGCAAATTGTTGCTGGCGACTTCAACCTTCACCACGAGCTATGGGGAGGCAGTAATATCCGGGCGCGAGACCGCGAAGCAACAGAACTCTTAGACCTCATGGACGACATGAATCTTACGAGCCAACTACAACCGGGAACTGTCACATACGAGGAAGGGAACCGCCGGACGACGATCGACCTATGCCTCGTTACAGTCGGTCTCGTTGACAGGATAATCAGATGCGAAGTAGACCACGACATTAACCACGACTCCGATCACCTACCTATAGTGACGTCCCTGCACCTAGCAGTAGCAGAACTACACCTGGAGAAGAAGCGGAACTGGAAAGCCATCGACGAGAAGACATTTATTCAGACATTCCGGCCTCACTACCACAACTGCAGAGGCCCAGAACGAAGACAGCACTCGATGGGTATGTAGAGGCAACGGTTGAAGCCATCTCAACCGCTATCGAGGCATCAGTCCCAGCCAAGGCCCCATCGCCGAAATCCAGAACCGGATGGACTGAAGAATGCGCGTATACCCTGGCCGAGGCGAAAAGACTCCGCAGGGTATACAGCGAGCAACAGACGGAAGAAAGCTGGGAAGCGTATAAGGAGGCGAGAAACAGAAAAGGCCGTGTCATACGGAAAGCACTACAACGAGCCCATCGCGAGGCGGTGGAAACAGCGGCTGGCTCTCCCGCATCGCTATGGAGAATCGCTAAATGGGCCCGGTATAGACAGGATCAGTCACCGACCGTCACACCAGAAATCAAGAAACCCAACACGACTCAGGTCGCGACCACCCCCGGAGAGAAAGCGGCGCTATTCAAGGAAACCTTCTTCCCTCCACCTCCAGAGGCAAACCTTGGAGATATCGACAACGCATCATACAGCAACCAGATCATTTTACCGCTGATATCGGAAAGTGAAGTGGAAGAGGCCATTCAAGAAGCAGCGCCGCTAAAGGCTCCAGGCCCCGACGGCGTCACCAACAAGGCACTTCAGATAGCGAGACAGTGGATCACACCACACCTCACCCGCATATTCAATCAGAGCCTCCGAATCGGACACTGCCCGCAACACTTCAGAAAGTCTACCACAGTGGTGCTAAGGAAACCAGGCAAAGATAACTACACAGTACCCAAAGCATACAGACCGATAGCCCTCCTAAACACGATTGGCAAGATCATGGACGCCATCATCGCAAAAAGACTAAGCTACCTCGCTGAAGCACACAGATTACTACCAGAAAGCCACATGGGAGGAAGAAAACAACGATCCACGGAAAATGCACTGCACCGAATAGTCGACCAGATATACGATGCCTGGGGTTCAGGAAAGGGAAAGGTAGCGAGCTTACTCCTCCTGGATGTGTCGGGTGCCTTCGACAATGTTTCACATCGCCGACTCCTGCACAACCTAAGAAAAAGACGAATAGACGAAGCAACGGTACGATGGATCGCAAGCTTCCTTGAATCACGAGAAACAGAGATCCACGTGGACGGATTTCGATCCGAAGTATACAGAATCAACACCGGCATCCCCCAAGGATCGCCCCTGTCGCCCATACTCTATCTCTTCTACAATGCGGACCTCCTAGACAGCTGCAACGAAGCTGAAGGCACAACAGCCACCGGCTTCATTGATGACGTGGCGATCCTAGCAGTAGGGGACAACACCGAGGACACCTGCCAGAAACTCCAAGAAGCGCTCCGGAAGGCCGAAAGGTGGGCCTTCACTCACGCGTCCGTCTTCGCACCCGAAAAGTTCCAGCTCACCCACTTCACACGAGCGAAAACCAGAATCAACACAGACACAACGCTTCAGAGCCAATGGGGAGAAATCAGGCCCAAGACAACCTGTAAATACCTCGGCCTCATCATGGACTCATCCCTCAAGTGGAAGCAGCACATCGACGAGACAGAACGCAAGGTAACCAACACCATCACAGCACTCAGCAGCCTAGGCAACTCCACATGGGGCGTAAGGACTAGAGAGATGAGAACAATCTACAAGGGAGTCGCCATACCACAGATGATGTACGCGTGCTCGCTGTGGTCGAACAGTGGATGGGGAGAGAAGGGGTACACCAAAAGGACACTTCACAGATTGCGAAGACTCCAAGCCAGAGCAGCCAGAGCAATGAGCGGGGCGTACAAAGCAACCTCGTTTCCAGCGCTAGACGTAGAGATGCATCTCCTGCCAGTTGAACAACAGATATGGAAACACAATATCGACACCGTCAGCAGGGTAGGCACAGCTGAAGCCCCCGCACGCAGAGGAACGAAAAGGAGCCCGAGACAAAGAATAACGAAACGACTGCTTGACGGACAAGAGGCAACCAACGAGGAGACTGAGCATATACCGCCCTTTGTTACACCCCCATGGTGGCAGGGCCCGCGCATCCTTATCGCTGGAGGAGCAGAGCAGGCCGAAAAAGCACACCAACGATGTCTAGAACAGAACACCAATGCAGTCCACATCTATACCGATGGCAGCGGCATTAACGGCCAAGTCGGAGCCGCCGCAGTCTGCACAACTACAGAGCAAACCAGAAAATCATATATGGGAGACGACACAACATCAACGGTCTATGCGGGAGAGTTGCAAGGGATCGTCCTAGCCCTCGAAATGGCCCAGGCAGACAAGGAAAACGGAAACCACAGGAGCAAAGTCTTTATCCACACCGACAACCAAGCCGCAATCAGGTCGTCAGCCAAACCGAAAGGGAAGTCTGGCGCATATCTCCTCGAGATCATCGCAGACAAGACACAAGCCCTCCGCGAACAAGGACTCGACGTCGAGCTCCGATGGGTCCCCGCCCACATCGGCATCCAGGGCAACGAAGCAGCAGACGCCGCAGCTAAAGAAGCCACAGGATGGAGACAGAACGGACAGACGGGCGCCAAGGCAGACAAGCCGAGAGCCCTGTTCAAGCTTAGGTCCACAATCAGGACCTGGTCACACAAGCAGTCGCACCAAAAATGGCAAACCGACTGGCAAGCTGAGACGCGAGGAAGAACGTCGTTCCGTCTCACGCCGAAGCCGACAAAGAAGGTCCTTCAAGCTCACGAAGGGCTCAGCAAACGACAGAGCGCGCTTCTGGTCCAGATGCGCACCGAAAAGATCGGACTCCAGGATTTCCTCTTCAGCCGAAGAGTACCGGGCATCACCAACGCCAACTGCCCGTGCCGGGAAGGACGACAAACGGTATCGCATATCCTGCTGCGATGCCGCAAGTATCGACAGCTCCGACGTCAGGAACTCGGAGCCCTCCCAGGACGACACAATCTCCGGGTCATACTGAACGAGCGCAAAGCAGCCGCCAAGGCAATCAGGTTCATAGAACAGACCGAGATCCTTGGGCAATATGGGATCGAGTCGCAACCCAGACAAAGCTGAGCATTGGGGGGAGACTGTAGGTAAACGGAACCATCGCAAGAGGCATAAAACCTCGACAGAGCCTAGGCATATATGTACGTTAGTAGAGAACCGCGAACTACACTTGGTGGGGGCCAGGAGTAGATGAGGTTGGAGAGCAAAGTGGGAAATTTGGAGACAGCTGGTCGATGTTTTGCATTGGCGAAGTGGGGCGCGACGGATTAATACCCGGAGCGCGTCGGCTGTTAGCCAAACCCCGCTATCCGGGCATAGCTGCTGACTAAAGCGGCCAAAACCGAGTAGGAAATCAAGTCAAGTCAAGTCAAGTCTGACTGCCCTGTTGGTCGTTCCAGGGGTTCGCTTCAGGCTGCACCAGTCACCAACCGGATTTGGGTCGTAACACACGACACAGCGAAGATAGAGAAAGCTGGCCACTGCCGAAATTTGCAGACTTTCATAAGCCTCGCAGCCCGTTCTGCCTTCTTCAAGCGGCCGCGCTAACAATTTGCCTGTTTTTGTCTTTGGCGACGTACTGGATAGGCTATCAACATGGCCTGCAGCAAACGCCTCAGCTTCCAACGCACTGTAAGAACCTGCTTTCTCAGTAAGCTCAGATATCCACTTATATGCTACTAGCCATTACCGCTAAAGGCTTTCAACTAAAACTCCAAACACTTGACGATGAGTTCGAGGTTCAAGAGCTTTCAAACCAAAAATACAAAGGGCTGCCAAGGCCGGAGCTGGATAAGGGATGGGATGGGTTCTTGAGAGGTTTGTTGTTTCTTTTTTATTTCGGAAACACAAACCAACAGCATTCGAAAACTGAAACTCCTCTCCTTTAGGCATGAATACTCGGGTGCGTTCGGTCGAGGCGAAGCAAGCGAATTTCACTTCAATTGAAATTGATGACGGCTCTGGTGATGTATATGCCATGCCTACTGTCTTTCATAATTTACATTGTCTGGTAGGACACTCTGATGCGCTCCCATGATTTCCCTAACGTCTTAGTAGAAGACCATCCGGCATTATCTGTTCCCAGAAAGTTACCCGGAAGATTGGGAGTTTCTCAAGCCTTCCGTCCCAGGAGGAATAAGCCCTCACATGGATCATTGCATTGACAAGTAAGACTACCTACTTGGATGTTTAGAGTCTTTAATACGATGGACATTGAAAACTAAAGTGATTAATCTACGCCAAGCACTCATGTGCCACGGTGACATGTCGCTCTATCGTTTTCGCTGGTTGTCAATTCAGGAGAAATCCAAGCCGGTGGACCATATGCCATACATTTGCATAGACTGGGAGAAGATGCAAAATTGGTCAATCGAGAGAAGTTTTTCGATGAACGATGATCTACTGCGGCATCCAGAGGCCAACCAGTTATAGATGGCAAAATGCAGTTTGGTTGTAGGCTGACGAAGACTCCCCAGCACATCGGGAAGGACACGATGAGAGCACTATTCATTACCCAGACTAGAATTACCTGTGGGGTAGTACAATTTAGCCGTCCCTCCTATTGGCCACGCTCACGGCAAGATTATCTGCAGACTGAAACAATGCCGAGGGTAGGGCTCAGGATAGCTTACCTAGGCTTATACTCTGCTTACCTTTGCTCACTTTTGGCTGAGGTCAAAGTGGCCATAGATCAGTCCCTATACCTAATGTGGATTTAGGACGAAGTTTCTGTCGTGGGTGACAATGTAGATAGGATTTGGCGGAGTGAAAAGATAAAGATCGTCCACCAAACCATTTTGGCACACTGGTATTCCAGCGGATGGTTCAATGAAAAACGAGAGATAAGAAACATGCGGAAACGACTGGGTACGCCTCACTGTCAGCCTTAATAATTTAGCGAGTAGGCTATTATGTATGGCTCAGCCACCACCCGAGACATCTCTTAGGCTCTCAGGAAGAAATTCGTTCGCTCTAGGCTAAGCTGATTAGCTTGCATAATGATTACACCAATGAGGTGTCTTTATATCCCAATCTGATCGACGTCTAAGGCGCATACTCTTATCCTCATCATGACATCAGCCAACCATGGCTAAACAACAACTTTCCAGCCCAATTTTCCAGGCATTGGCAATTCGTTGAAATGAATTCTGGGTGGACCTGCGGTTCTTATGGTTAAATAAAAAAACATCACACGGCTAGCTATCATCCATCAAGCTATCATCCGGATTGCTACCTGCGCGCAATAAACATACGCTTCATCAGCGCTAAACCGAACCCCGTTACTATGGATACCAACAACTCCAATCTAAACTCTAAGTGCGCGGAGTGGCCGGATTCTGAACGCCTCAATGCGTCCGGAGATATTGTGGGCTACGGTGTAAGATGCACTTACCACTCATGTTTGCTTGTTTGGGAAAATGGCTTGTTTAGAAGTCTCTGACACAAGATCTCCTAGATATTGGTAGCGTTTCTAGGCACTGCGGCAATAACTATTGTTGTCGTTCTATTAGCATACGTTTTTGATGCTATTGAAACTGATATCCTGGATGATTTCGACTACATGTTCCTAGCGTGGATTCGCGAACGGAAGCCATCTGCGACAGAAGGACAAAATATATCAGTAAACTGCTCTCGCAACGATCAACGGCGCGCAATGCGAGTAGAATCTTTTTCTCGCCTCGTCCTCGCGTTTAGCGATCAGCAGCTCGTAACAGGACTAGCCATTCTAGTGGCTGCGATCTCCGGCAGAGACCACCTATCCAGATTCGAGTTCACTGTTGCACACAGTTTAGCCTGGTTCTCCTCGATAACTCATCTAGCAACACTTGATGTGTTACGACCGACTTTGAGATCTCAAAACCGCTGGATAATGCAGTGCAGAGTTTTCGGCATGAATTGTTTGCTCATCCTACTCACCTATACCTCGACTGTGTTTCCGTGTACCGGCTCCACTGCTAAAGTACCCGTAGCTTGTGTTAGCAGCGGGGATTGTGCCGCTGGTTATGAGGTCGCTAAGCTTTGTTTGACGTTAGGCCTTATTTGGGAAGGTTATATGACTCGGCTGGATGACATCTGGTTCCGTGGGACTGGGGCTCTCATGGCTTTCTACCGTGCTTTCCCAGAGCTCGAAGGGTCTGAGTGGCTTACAATGTGGGGGTACCAAGGGCATTCTGTTTTCACTTTCTTCGACAACTTACAGGATACACTCATCTACAATCTCCTGAGGAAAGTTGGTGTATCCGTTGCTCCCAACTTCTTACGCATACTTTTAAATTCGGATCGGCATCGAAGTACATCATCTTTGAATTACGACGAGCTACGTGCAATGTCACTCGCTCATTCTCGGTGTAACTTACTTTTAATGTCTAAAAGGGCGTATGACCACATACAATGCGGATCCCCAGTCGGAGTCTCAAGGATAATTGCTTATTTGCTTAATTATCTTGGAAAATTAAGCTTCGCATACTGGAGATATAGTATGAGCTTTCTGGCCAGAATGCCAATCTTGATCTTCAGTCTTTGCTATGGATTGGGACAGATTATTCTTCGACGGTGGGTTTGGGCCCCTGATATGACTGAAGCATCTCTGGAAATGGGCTTCGGGCAAATCATGGCAGTCTTCCTCCTTCTTCTACCTTTTCTTGCCGGTAGCGAAGCTTATACAGGTAAGGAAGAGAATGCCAAACTGGAAGAGTTAAGAAGATCAGGCGCGCTAAGAGAGACCTAAGAATACAGGAGAGAGTTGACCAATACCGGACAAACACAACAGCGTAACATTGAAGCAAATATTGATTCTCGAGAGAATAATACAGTTGGCACTGAGCAATTTCATCAGACGCAACAAAGTTACGACTACTGTTTTGTTGACATTAAGAAGTATCTGTTTACTACTGTTACAACCCCATACAACATACCGATTACAAGGAAACACGAACTCTTTTCTATTTATCAAGAGCTTAAAAGCACTGAGGCGCGAATTGGACATCAGATGCTGTTTGTGATTTTTGTTCTTGAGATCTTTACTGCAGTTGTGCTTGGTATAATGCTTCTCCCCTCTAATATCTGGCCTAGAGAGGCATCTTACTTTAGCTTTGTTTTGTTTAGTAGCTGGGTGGTACTTAAGTTCACGCCACGAGTATATGTTGAAACTCAGCCATCACTCACCGAGTCGCCAGCTCTAACCCAAGCGCAAAAGATCTATTTAGAAACAGTAAGACTTCTTACTACTCTATAGTGTACACAAATAGAAAATGAATATACTCTTCAGGATTTAAACATCATTTTATAATGTAGCAGGTTTCTATAACTGAGGTTATCTCATACTTAGCTTAGCTGTTGTTACGTAGTTGAGAATAGGTTTGTTTATATATAATAGTAAGAAACATATGAAAGGCTTCTAGTTATGTACAAGCGTAAAGATGATTATTTGTCTAAGTTACATTCATACATTTAATAGAATTCTAAAGCTTCCTAGTACTATGTATTACAGCTACCTACTGTATCCACTGTATAACCTATATTGAATGTACCCTAAGAATTTCAACTCCTTACCCAACTTCACCCACATAATACAAAATTTAGTTTCATTTGTTTTACAAAGTGATCTGTCCTGTAGCGAGCGCTCTCAGCGTAGCCACCTGATTAAGCACATTCAGCGCCATAGCCTGTCTCGCCGGATTCGCCGGATTCGCAGCCAGTGGGCCATATGCATTCTGCAGCTCATTCAGCCTCACGTCAACGGCCCGGCGCGCAAAGTTGGTGGCGCGAATGTTCCACTGGGTGATAAACTCAGCCAGCAGCGGACGCATGCGGGCGGGATTGTTGGGAAATGTGGCAGCGAACATGGTGTCGAACTGGCCGGCGGCGGCGGCGCGCCCGTCGTTGACCTGGGTGCGCAGGCCCGACACTTGGGCGCTGTTCATGACGTTGAAGACGGCAATGGTGGAGGCTAGGACCGAGAGGACGGTCTCGGCGCTCTGCTGGGTAGGGTTCTGCATCAGGGTACGCATGCGGTCGTCCGAGATGGGGTTGCCCTCGGTGGTGTAGATGCGGCCCTTGATGACGTTGAGGTTCTCCTCCAGGTTGTACATGACGGTGGGGTTGCCGGTCGAGCCGAGGGCGTCGGCCATGTCGTCGGCGCCGGAGCCGGCGGGGATGGGGACGTTGACGGTGGCGGGCACCCAAGTGCGGTAGTCGTGGAAGAAGTTATTGTAAACTTCGTTCCAGGTGAAGAGTGGCAGCTGTGTGGTGAAGGTGCCGCCGTTGCCGTCGGCGAGGTCGAGCGTGCCGCTCTGCACGAAGTTGAGAAAGTGGTTGGGCGTGATAGAGCGGTCGTCGGGGTGCTCGGACTGCACGTGTGTCCAGTGCACGCCTTGCACGCCGTTCTGGGTGACGCTGGTGTCGACGCAGTTGCCCGGGTTAGCGCGTGCCCAGCGCTCGTTGCGGCCCGTCTCGTCGTCGAGCGCGTCGCCGTCGTCGCCGTTAGGATAGGTGGGCGTGCGAAAGTTGACTGCGTTGGTGGGCCCGTTGGGGTTGGCGGGGTATTCATACGCAGGGTAGTTCTGCGCGTTGCCGTCCGAGGGGCCGGCGCGAGGCTCGAGACGTTGGAGCTCCTGCTCGCTGAGGGGCTCGAGGTACTCGCGCTTGAGTTTGTAGGGCGGGTCGGGCTGCACCAGCTCGTCGTCATAGGCCACGAGGTCGTAGAAGCACACCAGTTCGCCGGTGTTGTTGCCGCCGCCGCTGCCGCAGTTCATGAATTGATTGGCGCCGAAGAGGGCGTAGCCGTTGATCTCAGGCGCGTCGCGGTCCTCAGGGGTATCGCCTCCCGTAAGAACGACGCGGGGACTCGGCACAGATCCGAACGTGTGTGAGGTGCCGTCCTCCCAGCCGTCCTGGATCAGGCTGCCGGTTTGGAGTACGCCCAGAAGGCCGCCCTGGTGGGCGTCGATAACGTCGCCACTGTTGGCGTCGATACGGATAGCATGAGGGACGAGGGCCTGGAAGTTGGCACCGGCCTCCTGCAGCGGCGTGGAGTAGCCAAATACCTTGAGCTCCATAACGGCCTCAAGGATCACATTCAGGGCGAACACGCTGTCCGAGGTGGCGGCCCTCTTGGAAGAAGAAGAGGAGGAGGAGCCCACTGAGACGGCCCCATCGGCGGCATTATTGACAATGTTGGTCAAGATGCCACCGCCAAAAGTGCCCAGGCCCGGAGGTGCATTGGTCTTGGCCGTGCTGGACGTGCCCGACTCAAAGCTGACGGAGAACTTGGCGTCGATCTCGCCCTTACCGACGAGGGAGACCTCGGCGTTGAGTTGTGGCTTAAAGGATACAAAGCCCGGCTGCGAGGCCTCGTAGCCGGTGATGGGGCTGGCGAACAGCTTCTTGCTCGCGCCCGTGCTCACGTCCAGCTCGCCACGGCCGTCAAAGTCGAGCTGAGCCGACATGAACATGTCCGAGTCGAAGTAGCCAAAGGCCTCCTCGAGTTTGTAAGGCTGGATCGTGCCGACCAGGGTGAAGCCAAAGTCCATCTCGTTCCTCATGGACCCGGCCAGCGTCAGCTTCAGGAAGCCGGACCCGTCGCAACCCTTGTCGGACCCGTCATCGCCGACGATGAGCACGGAGAAGTCGTTTTTGCTGATCGAGGTCGAGCCCGTCTTGCCGTTGTCGTCGCTGTCCTTGCCGCGGATGTTGTCCATGATGGTCTTCCACACGGAGCTGATCTTGCTCCAGAAGCGCGGCTGCAGATCCCTCCTCTGGTGCTTGGCCTGCACAATGTCCGTGTAGTACTTGTTGGTGCTGGCATAGTCGACACGGAAGTAGACGTCGCCATCATCACGCTTCTTGACCCGGCTGAAGTCGTAGCTGTACGCGAGCTCCCAGATGCGGGCCCCTTGCGGCGCTCGCTTGACCACGTGACCAGGCAGCGAGTAGTTTGTCTCATGGAGTGAGTGGGCGACGACATACTTGGCGAAGCCCAATCCCGCTGGCATTTTGAGGATGGTGCCCTCAAGTCCGCCCTCGTGCATGTCATCGCAGTTGCTGATGGCCGGATTGTCCTCCATACATACCAGATGGGTCACATGAGTCTGGCCTGCCTCCAGCTCCGTATCGTTCCCCCGTGTCAGGAACTCGAGGTGGCTCCCATCACGCTTGTCGACATTGGATACAGTGCCCTTGGGTCCGTCCACGACGACGGAGAAGAAGGCCTGGGGCCCCGGGGTGGAGTTGTAGGACAAGATATCCTGGTCAAAGGCCGGCATGTAGCCCTCAACCGGCGGCAGGGTCGGGAACAAGTCCTCCAACGACGCCGGCAGAAACGGGTTCAGGTCCGACGGCGAGTTGCAGCACAGCACCTTTTGACGCGAGTTGAAGCCGCTGGCGCATAGTGAACCCGTGTCACCGCTGGGGTCCAGCCCGACCTCGACGTCCGTGGCCGAGCACTCGTTGTCATCGCACGTGCCCTTGCCGATCCAGTGGCAGTTCTCAAAGGCATAGGGGCAGCAGAAGCGCTGCGTGCACGACGACAGGAAGCTCTTATACACGGATCGGCTGCTGACCTCGTGAGGCGCGTCCGACGGGCATTCCTCGCACTTGGTGGCCCAGTCGCACTTGTCGACCAGGGCGCTCCATGTGTTGCTCTTGCAGCAAAAGGCCTGCTGGCCCGGCGCGAGACAGGACTCGCTGCCGTGCGGGGAGTGGGTGACGGTGACTTCGCCCTCGTGGCACTGCCCGTGGCAGGATCCTGACCCGCGCCACTCGCACGACTGCGGCATTGCGTTGACGGGGCAGTAGATGTACTTGTGCAGCGGCACATTGCCCGTCACGGGGCTGCTCCACCAACACTTGTCCCGGAACTTGCCGTTGGGCGCGATGGCGTAGCCGGCCGGGACGTCAGGCTTTTCCAGACAGTCGCTTATGATGCACTGTTGGCCGTTGACCGTCGACCAGTGCGCCGTCTCGGCCGTCGCCGTCCGCTTCAGGTTGAGCTCGAAGGACGCCAGGCTCTGGCCCGTCAGGCCCGACAGCGCCGAGAAGTCGTTGTCGTCAAGGTCGACTGCCCAGATCATGACGCCGCCCAGCCCCACGCTGTCCGCCCATTCTACCTTGGCCTGCAGCGTGTCGGCATCGTCGAAGCTGACCCACTGGTCCTTCTTGTCGCCAAACACAATGTACTTGGCTGCGGCCTCTTTGTCGTGCACCACCTCCGGGTCCTGGTCGGCGATGATGTCCATGATCTCAAAGTAGCCGAGCGTGCCGGCCGAGTTGGTACACGGTCCCTTGTCGGCCGCGCCGCTAAACGCACATCCGGGCGTCTTGCAGCTGGTGTCTTTAAGCTGGAACGAGCGGCCGTAGAAACCCACGCCAAGCACCACTTTGCCTGGCTCGACGTTGTTGCGCCACAGGAGGTCGGCGGCCAGCTTGATCTCTGTCAGGTTGGTGTGTGCCTGCACAATGTTGCCAATGGGGTTGTGCTCGTCCCAGACGCCGTGCAGATCGTACGACATCATGTTGATCCAGTCGGCATACTCCAGCAGGCCGGGCACGTCAAACCAGCGCAGATACCAGTAAGACGTCGGAATGGTGAAGGTCAGGCCGTAGTTGCCCCGCGCCGAGGCCAGGAAGGTCTCCCGCAGGATCTTGAGCATTGAGACATAGCCTTGTCGATCGTCTTCCTCGTTGCCGCCGCGGTCTGGCGCGCCGGGATATTCCCAGTCCAGGTCGACGCCGTCAAAGCCGTAGCGCGTCATGAACTTGACCAGGTTGTTTGCGAACTTCTTGCTCTTCTCTTCGCTGGCGGCAATGTCCGGGAAGACGGGCTGGGTTGCGGTGTCGTTGTCTGAAAAGGTCCAGCCGCCAATGGCCACAAAGACCTGCAGGTCTGAGCCCAGCGCGTTGGAGTTCTTGATGTCCGTCACTTGCGCGAACAGCCCGGCGTCCGTCTCTGAATCCATGGTGGTGATCTCGAGCGAGTCTGGGTCGATGTAGGCAAAGGCAAAGTTGACGTGCGTGAGGCCCTCAACGGGGAGGCCTGCGGGCGGGAACGAGTGGCACGATCTTCGGGCTGACCAGGCCTCATAGTACCCGATCACCTTGTTCTCCAGCACGGGGATGGCGCTTCCGCCGGCGGGGATTGGCGGGTTGACCACGCAGTTGGACTCGCAGCCACCTGTGCAGTACTCCTCGGTGCTGCCGCAGAAGCCAAACTTACTGCAGCAAACCTTGAGCGGGCATTCCTTGCCGGCTGGTTGGGCGTACTGCCCACACTCGGCGTGGGCGTCGCAGTTGGACACGCAGTCGCTGCCGCAGAAAGTCTCACCGTAGCCGCAGACGCCCTGGTCTCCGCCAAAGAAGGAACCGCAGCAGGCGCCATTCTTGCAAGGCTTTTCTTTGGTGCACGTGTAGTCGTCCCTTTTTTGGAAGGCATGGAGATGACTGACATTGCCAAGGGAGGGGGAGGGACCGTTGTGGGTACGGACCGGCAGCAAATCGGCATCAAGTTGATGTCGATGTGTGAGTAGGCCATTCGAAGAAGTAGAAGACTGGGACGACAAAGAGTGACGCTGGTTTTTGTTCAGGAGGCCAAGTATGACCACAGCGGCAAGGAGTGGAAGCAAGATCCAAGACCAAGCCCTTGAGCCACCAGACTTGGCCGGCGGTCGAGCCATGGTTGATTCGGTGAGGAAATCAAGTGCACACGTGTGTCGAGGAAGCTAGGCAAGGCCTGGATGGACAAGAAAGAACGACTGAGGAGAAACGAGTGAGAAGATGGAGGGGGCTTCCAAGTACAAGCACTTTTGAATACTGCGAGGGAGCGCGCGAGAGACATCACATCAACGGCGGACCCTTGGTTCAGCGATCGACTGACTGACAGCCTTTCTTCTTGCCAACAGTAGTGCTGTAATCTTTCCCCTCCCCTAGCCCCTTCAATGTCAGCCTTAAGAAAGACGCGTGTCTCGTGGTGGTCATGGTTCGGCCCGACCCCTGGGAAGGATTCTTTGAATAATTTCCTTTGCTGACATGTGGGTTATACCATGCAGCCCACCTTACCCCGTATGGCAAAAGGTACAACGATATGTCGCCGTAATAGGCAGGAGCCGGGGAATAATTTCTCTAGCCGACATGAGCATGCAGTGCAGGGCACCGATATTGGTAGCAGTGCTTGTAGGGTTACATTTAGTGTTATAAGCTTTCATCATCACGCGCTAAAGTGCTAGGCAGAAGCCGTAGAATAATCTCTTTAGCCAACGTAAGCTTTGCAATGAAACGCTAGCAGCAGGGATATTAAGGTTACACTCACAAGCTTGTATAAGATTCTAGGCTTGCACCTACTACTAGTGGCTGACAGGTGTGGTATATCTAGCGTCGTGAGCAATCCTACGGATAAACTAGGCCTTGCTGCTCACCCCCTGATGGCCTCCTTGGCAGGATAGGACAGGACGTAGTAGCGTTGATGCATCACGGGTCATGATCCAAGGCCCTTACCATATTTGCCGCCGTCCTTCCCCTCTCCCAATCTGGCTCCATCTTCCACTCGCTCCCTCGCTTCCTCATCTGCTCTTGAAGCCCTCTGGCCGCCAACGATATCATGTCTTTACAGACCTTGGCCGGCGCTTGGCCGGCGTCGCTACTGCTGCTGAGCCACTTGGTGCTCGGCCAAGTGTTTATTGGCAGCAACAGTGACGAGAGCAGCATTCCGCTCACGCTCCCGGCGCCCGAGAAAATCTCAAGTCAGTGCAACTCGACCTTTTCCACGCGCCTGACATGCGACACGACGCTGCCGCGCATGGCCTACGGCGGCTACTTCCCCGACACGGAGGAGCTGACGCACATGTGTCAAACCGACTGCCTTCAGGCGCTCGAGTCGCTGCGTCAAGCGCAAACAAGCCAGTGCGCCGACGACGTCTTGGTGGTCGACGGCCAGCCTGCGCTCGTGACCGTCTCGGTCGACACCATGATGTGGGTGTACAACTACACGTGCCGCCGTGACGCGCAAACGGGTGACTTTTGCGCCCCCATCTTCGACGCGTGGGCCAGCGACACCAGCAGCGAAGGCGAGCCAAGTGACGGCAGCAGCTGCTCTGACTGCGTGCTTGGCACCTACCAGCTGCAGCTTGGATATGCGTACGGCTACGACGAGGAGCTGGCCGCGAGCTTTAGTGCCCTGACGTCGTCTTGCGGGGCTACGGGCTATCCCGTCACGTCGCCATCGGCCATCTACCTGACGGCCAATCCCACAAGCACGGCCACTCCAACAAGCACAAGTCCGGAGCCGGAGAAGTCTTGCGTCAGCACCTACACTGTCCAAGCCAGCGATGCCGACTGCCACTCCATCGCCGTGGCCCAGGGCGTATCCCTCAACCAGATGCTCTACTTCAACAACCTCCAGGCAGGCTGCGCCGACTTCCCCACCGCGGCCGGGACGCAGCTCTGTATGCCGCACACGTGCGAGACGTACACGGTGCAGCAAAACGACACGTGCGCGGGGTTGGTGCAGCAGTTCGGATACGTCTTCACCCAGTCACAACTCGTGGCGTGGAACGTCGACATCAGCCGCGGCTGCGACAACCTCGAACTGCTCGTGGGCGCGCGGATCTGTGTCAGCTTCCCAGGGGACGTAGCCAGCACGACCACGACACGCCCGCCGCAGTCGGCAACCGTGGCACCCATCCCAACCAACGTCGTCGACGGCACCAACACGCGCTGCAGCCGCTACTACGAAGTCAAGCTCGACGACACGTGCGCGTCCGTGTCGACCAACCAGGGCATCGCGCTGCAAGACTTTTACTTCCTGAACCCCGAGCTCAACACGACGTCGTGCAGCAACCTGTTCCTGGGGTACAGCTACTGCGTGGCTGCCGTGGGCGATATCAGCACTTACTCGGGCTACCTCGGCGGCAGCGGCCCCACGAACCCCTGTGTGGGCGGCACAACTGTGGCCGAAGCGTCCAGCTGTTATGCCACCACGTACGCAACCACGGATGCGTGGACGTTCCCCGTCCTCAACACCACTGCCACCACCACCGCGGCGGCCAGCAACTGGACTTCGATCCCCGTGACCCCCGTCGCCACCTATCCCGTCACCCAGTCCGCCGAGCCGACGCCCACGCCGCACCAGGCCCAGATGGCGAGCGGCTGCACCGACTTCTACAAGGTCGTCGACGGCACAACGTGCGCGGCCATCCTGGACGGCTTCGCCATCACCTTTGCCGACTTCTACGCTTGGAACCCCGACGTGGGCGACAACTGCCAGTTCCTGCAGCTCGATGTCTATGTCTGTGTCTCGCATGGTTCGGCCTCAACAGCCACGGCAACCACCAAGACAACCAGCGCAACGACCACAAGCAGCGGCGCTCCAGCACCGCCTGGCCCGACGCAGGCTGGCATTCCGGCCGATTGCAACAAGTGGATCTTGCAGCAGGACGGTGTGTATTGTTATGACATGGCCAGTAACGCCGGCATCGGCCTGGCGTGCCTGTACGAGCTGAACCCGGCGCTGAACACGGATGCCGGCGAGTGCCAGGGTTTGTGGCCGGGGTATGCGTATTGTGTGGGAACGAAGGGGGGTGCGTGTTCATGATTTGATCCAAGCCCAAATCATCAGTGTAATTTTTAATCACACCTAGATCTAGACTGGCGAACCATGTTTTCCCAACTCTGACCCAGCTTTCCCCATTGCCATGCCTCTCATTGCCTCAAACAACTGCCTACATCGCGATTGGGCACCCACTTCTGGAAGTCCTCCTCTCGAACCGACACAAACGCCCTCTGGTAGCTCTTCTGCGCGCATGCCCAGAGCGTCTCCAGGGGCACCACGTTGCCTTGGTCGGACCGCCGCGCGACGTAAAAATTGTTGACCAGCTGTTGCAGCCGCACGCGGACGTAGCCTGGGTATGCTGCCTCTTGCTCTTGCACCGTGTCCTGGCCCTCTTGCTTGTCGTCGCGATACTCCGGATCCACGGCCCACACCCACATGTCATCACAGACATTTCCCCCTTTCGGCCCGTTCAACACTGAGTGCACAGAATCCCGGTCCACCACCAGAAAGACGTTCTGAAGGATCCCTTCAGGCAGTGCATCACGAACCGTTTGGAAGTCCCTCCGCAGCCTCTCGAGCAAGCCGCGTTTGTGCTTATCAGTGGCCCCTGCAGGCCACCCCATTCGATGCAACGTCCAATTCCCCTGCACATTCTTCGCCGCAGCCGAAACATCGCGTGCCCATTGCAGTGACGCGCTGACGCGGACTTGGAAATCCTCATCGTCCGCTCCTGCGTCCGGATCGTAATAGATTGCGTATCCCCAACACGCCTTTGGCATGCTTGTGCCCGACATCAGCCGCCGAACCCACTCCTGCTGCGCCGCCTCAAACGCCTTTTCCTCCTCTCCCGCCAACTTCTCTCTCACTTTGCGCAACCGCTCTACCGTGCTGACCATGTATTCCTCTGACGTGTCCGATTCGAGTTTGGCAAGGGCGCCAGCCCAGGCCGCCAGACAGCCGTCATATTCATGGGAGGGCCAGAACCGGCGGCGGAGGAGGTCAATTTCGCCCGAGGATAGGGCGGTGGGTGTGTGCACGGCGCGGTGAAGGAGGGTGGCTTTGTCGGGGGTGGAGGAGGATTGGAGTTGGGCAAGGGAGCTGGCGATGGAGGCGGGTGAGGGGCGGTCGAGGAGGAGCAAAAGGTCAGATGAGGACATGTTCATGTCGCCGGAAAGTACGGCGGACTCGAGCTGGGGGAAACGGGCAATGAGGTCAGAGGGTTGGTCCAGGCCGAGTTGAACTCGGGTGAAGGAGGGTATGAGTTGTTCCATTTGAGTGAGGTGGTTTGATTTTATGATGGTGAGGGCGAGGTGAGAGATTAATTGACCTGTCGTCGGAAGATGGGGTTTTTTTTGGGTTTGGTGTCTTTTTGGGAAAGAAAAGCTTCACTTTTTCTACGAGTCTGACAGAGTGGACTAAGGTTCAGCTACCTCTAGTGCTGATGTCGGCCCTCTTATCGCTATCGCGATTTGTCAGAACTGATGGCTCATAATTGTACGGAACACCTGCGGGGACATACGTACCTAGGTCTAGCTTGGCGCGGCGATGTAAACTTGTTAGATACGATGTCAACACTTTGTACTTGGGATGACCTGCTTGTGTAATTGGCATTGTTTTCAGGCTCTATCGAATGGGAGGTTGGTCTTTAAATTCCCTAATAAACGCGCCGGTTTTACCAAAGCTTGGAGTTATTAACCAATAGTATTTGCGCATAACCACCAAATCTGCGCATCTGTCAGATTGACGGGCGCTTAAAAGCAGCGTGTGGAACGGGCGGTCGGCGGAACCTCGGTTCATTCCGGGCCGAAGGCATCAAGGGGACCCCTCCCTTTATTCTAACGCGCTTTGGGCGCCTTGTAGGCGTGAAGCTAGACACGACATAACAACATACACAATTAACCCTAATTCGACTTCTGCGAAATGACGGTCGAGCCTCAATAATGCCCGATGGCCGACGACGTGTGGAACCCCGACTGACACCCTACCAGCGGCGGCGACACCGCACGATGCCGAGTTGTCGCTGGCCGGTCAAAAGGTGCAGCAATGTGGTGGGGCTGTGAGATCCATCACAGCATCCGTCGCGCCACAACATTCAAATGCCACCAGCCTCACCAAAATAATACGGAAGGCATCTTGAGCCGGTAGCTCGGTGAGGGCCTGTACGGTGCACCCGCCTACACCGACTTCCACCGAAGCATCCAACTCGGCGCTCAGTATCTCATTAGTCACCTTTAATAACTATCCCATAGAAGGGGTTAAGGCTAATGCAGATGATTCGAGTGCGTATAGGCACTGCGCTTGTGTTAGTCGGGTCTTTATTGCCGTACATGCCCGGGGACGCAGCGCTGGACAAGGAGATTGCGAGGTTAGGGAACGAGTTCCGCCAGCTTCTCCACGAAGGCACAGGACGTGATTTTGTTCCCGTGTATCTGAACTATGCGTTTGGAAATGAGGGGCCGGGGCCGGAGCAGTGTTATAGGTATGAGAAGTGGCGGATGACTCGCCTGCAGGAAGTGAAGGCGGCGTATGATCTTGATGGCTTGTCTAGCTTTTATAGACCTATTGCTTAGGTAAGTTAAGGTAAGGGGAATCTTAGATTATGCATAGAGCTTTGGTGGTGAGTTTGGATTCTTTTCGCTTTGCAGGACGAGTACACTAATTATTTCGGCTCGGAGGGTTTTTTTAATTCAATGTCAAGACTATGAACTTGCTCGATACACCACGCGCTTTGCCTCGGAAAAAGTACGAGGATAATCTCGCAGATATGAGTCTACTCAAAGACTACTGACTTTAGAGTAATGAGGAAGGTAACTGACTATTTGAATATGATACGGGATATTATAGAAACCAATACCTAACTCTTGGGGGTTTTTTTTTGTTGTTGTTATATGCTGACCTGGGTACTTGTTATATGAACTACGGGTAGGAAAGTGAAATATAACTGTTATATTTGCGGAATGTTGGAATAACAGCACCAGCTGGTTGTACGACACGCACGACTCAGGGACACACATCATGGCAGAGGGCACAGACTGGATATTCGGCTCTCGGTTATCCATTGAGGGGATCAAAAGTATATTCATGCCGAACTGACTCAGGGACGTACGAGATCATATATCTTGTGTACGAAAGCCAAGTCTTGTAGTTAGGAAGATAATCACGGAAAATACATCTTTGGTTCACCCTAACTTTAACCCGAGTACGATCGTACAAACGGGTTCTCTCAGGAAGAGAGAATCCATTCAACACTGATCAGTGGTTGCTTGGCAATCCGTGCGATTGCTTTGTGCAATCACAGATTAGCAAGAGTGAAGAGACAAGACTTAGGCTTTACGGCCGGGCTACCGGGTAGTCTTGCACTTCGTGCGAGGCGAGAAATCCTCAGGGATACCTAAGGGGTCACGCTAGAAAGTCTCTTGTGCTAAGAAGCCTTAATCCTACCTATTGTCGCCTGCTAAGCTGAACCGGGTAGATAGGATAAAGACGACTTTTGCTTTACTATCGTACAAGACAGATTCCCGTTGTCGCCTGCTAAGCTGAACCGGACGAGAATCTTTATTGTACTGTACGTAGAGTACAAAGTGTGCGCCACGGCACCAAACAAACCAATTTTGACGTCGTACGATACGAAACGACTACCGAACACAACATGGCTTCCCAAGAGGATCCAGAAGACAATCGTCAAAGCCAATATGACAATATTGATGGATACCTGCCAACGTACGAAGAAATAAGTGCAAGGAGCGAAGTCCCACTGCACACGTGGAAGAAGACTGTGAATCCTAGACGCTGGGGAAATCCAGTCGATATTACACAGGCACCGTCCGAAGAAGAGATGACTACGTACATTGCGTACATCAACATGGAAATGCTTCATCTTAGGCAATCACAGGAAAACCTGACAATATCACTGTACGAAGATTTTAACGAATGGTCTACCTTTCAATGGGAAAAGGTCTATCGTGCGTTCAGGGCAGAGTTCATACGACTTATTGAGCTAAAGGGATTCCGATTACCGCCAATAAGAAATGTGAATCAACAGCTAGTTGAATTCATCAAGGAGATTGGGAGGAAGTTTGATGAGCAAGAAGAACAGCTTTCTACTCGTACAGCACTTACACCAAGTCGTACGATTACAACAACTCAAACACCTGTTCGAAACCCTGAATCAACTTTACCCCAAAACACAGCTGAACCGACAACAGAGCCAATCAAGCCCCCGTACGATACACAGACAACTCAAACATCAATTGTACGAGAGCAGTCACAATCAGCTTCAGGAAACATGCCTCCTGGAACAAGATTCACACAGGAGGTTGAGAGTTTCCCACAAATCCAGGGTCGTACAACACCTTTACATCAAGGAGACAGCATCTATGACCTACCACCAAGACGAATAGTCCAGAATGGATTGTGCGAGCCAACTACAATCTCAATCTTCCAGAAGGGATGGAGAAAGGACAGGAATTATACGGGCAAGCCGTACGATATCCTGTACGACAAGGCAAAGGTCTTTATCAGTTTTTGTCGACGCCTCAGGATCACTGAAGATCAATACCATGCAGTATTTCCTGATATCTTGGCTGATCGTGCGGAAGAGTTTTATCTCCATCACATTGGACCAACAAGGAGATGGGACGAGATGTACAACATGTTAGAAATGCACTTTAACACTAACATCAACCACACTCTCTATTGGACAGATTGGACAAGTCTATCCTTCGCACGAGTCAGACAAGACAATCCAGACAAGAATCTGATGGACGTATTAGAGATACTCTTAGACAAGATACCCCTCGTACAGCGGGCACTTGGCCCAGGTTTTCAGGGGGAGATTATGCTTCGTACGCAAGTCACCCAAGCGTGCAGAGGTGTACTAGAGCTAGAAACTGCTCTAAGCAATCTTAAAGCACATCACACATGCGAGCAATTCTTTTCTAGCCTAAGAGCATCACTACAGGTCGCTTTAGACAGGAAGTCTATGTCGCACGACATCAACTTTGTGGATAGAAGATACTCTAACAACAAGAGTTACCCACGACCATCGTACAATAGACCGTCAGACAACAGAGGATCTTCTCGACAACCTTGGAAAGGTCAACCTTCATCACGACCTAGGTTTAATCGTGCAATATCTAAGAAAAGATGTTTTGTGTGCAAGAAGGAGGGTTGTTGGTCTACGAATCATTCGGACGAAGAACGTAATCGTGCGAAAGACCAATACCTTCAGGCATGCGGTATACTTGAACAAGAACCACAGAGAGATTTTGCCTCGTACCTTCTTGACTTTGAAGGAGAAAACCCAGTGGACGAATCGTGCGATGAGGAGGGAGAATTCACAGGAGATGAAGAGACATCAGCTTTCCTAATGTCTTCTTCATTCTTCCATCGCACGACAGGGGAGGATATTTTTTCATTACCAAAGACGTCAAAGGCCTGTCAATTCTTGTTGCACGATCCTTATATCTCATCGTACCAAGGGGAACTATGGGATACAGGAGCAGCGAAGTTCTCTACCGTAGGGAAACCTCAAGTGCTTGCATACCTACGGGAGAACCCTTGTACGGCAATATCCTGGGGACCAGGATCAGCAAACGTACGATTCGGGGCAAATGACTCAATCACATCGGTTGGCACTATGGAAATGGAGAATCAGCTTGGAAAGGTTACGTATCACATCCTTGATGCTCCTACTCCGTTCCTGTTTTCATTGTACGATGCAGACAGGTTAGGTGCATATTTCAACAACGTCGACAACGTGATTGTACGGCAGGATGGAAAACCTATCCCAGTCGTACGGAAATGGGGTCACCCATTCTTCAACCTTAGTCGCACAGAGGCCAGCATGTTCTTCACAGAAGGACAACTCCGAAGGCTTCACAGACGATTTGGACATCCTCGTACGGACCGTCTTTACCACCTCCTGAAGAAGGCTGGGCATCACAACATTGACATCAACATTCTAGAAAAGGTCCAGAAGTTTTGTCATCATTGTCAATCGCACGACTCAGCACCGAAGAGGTTTAAGTTCACACTTAAAGACGAAAGCTACTTCAACTATGAGATAGTTGTGGATGTCGTACGACTAAGAGACAAGAACGCCTTACACGTTATCGACACAGAGACAAGCTTCCAAGGAGCCACCTTCCTGAAGTCCTTATCTGCACGAGATACGTGGAATGCACTTTGCAAGTGCTGGATCAGCACGTACATTGGTCCACCAGACCATATCGTACATGACCCAGGTACAAACTTCGCATCAGCAGAATTC